GGAATTCTGAATTTCTCAATTTCGGAATTTCGGAATTTCGGAATTCTGGAATTTCTGAATTTCTGAATTTCTGAATTTCGGAATTTCGGAATTTCTGAATTTCTGAATTTCTCAATTTCCAAGTTTCTGAATTTCTGAATTTCTGAATTTCTGAATTTCTGAATTTCTGAATTTCTGAATTTCTGAATTTCTGAATTTCTGAATTTCTGAATTTCTGAATTTCTGAATTTCTGAATTTCTGAATTTCTGAATTTCTGAATTTCTGAATTTCTGAATTTCTGAATTTCTGAATTTCTGAATTTCTGAATTTCTGAATTTCTGAATTTCTGAATTTCTGAATTTCTGAATTTCTGAATTTCTGAATTTCTGAATTTCTGAATTTCTGAATTTCTGAATTTCTGAATTTCTGAATTTCTGAATTTCTGAATTTCTGAATTTCGGAATTTCGGAATTCTGGAATTTCTGAATTTCTGAACTTCTGAATTTCGGAATTTCGGAATTTCTGAATTTCTGAATTTCTGAATTTCTGAATTTCTGAATTTCTGAATTTCTGAATTTCTGAATTTCTGAATTTCTGAATTTCTGAATTTCTGAATTTCTGAATTTCTGAATTTCTGAATTTCTGAATTTCTGAATTTCTGAATTTCTGAATTTCTGAATTTCTGAATTTCTGAATTTCTGAATTTCTGAATTTCTGAATTTCTGAATTTCTGAATTTCTGAATTTCTGAATTTCTCAATTTCTGAATTTCTGAATTTCTGAATTTCTGAATTTCTGAATTTCTGAATTTCTGAATTTCTGAATTTCTGAATTTCTGAATTTCTGAATTTCTGAATTTCTGAATTTCTGAATTTCTGAATTTCTGAATTTCTGAATTTCTGAATTTCTGAATTTCGAAATTTCTGAATTTCTGAATTTCTGAATTTCTGAATTTCTGAATTTCTGAATTTCTGAATTTCTGAATTTCTGAATTTCTCAATTTCTCAATTTCTGAATTTCTGAATTTCTGAATTTCTGAATTTCTGAATTTCTGAATTTCTGAATTCTGGAATTTCTGAATTTCTGAATTTCTGAATTTCTGAATTTCTGAATTTCTGAATTTCTGAATTTCTGAATTTCTGAATTTCTGAATTTCTGAATTTCTGAATTTCTGAATTTCTGAATTTCTGAATTCTGAATTTCTGAATTTCTGAATTTCTGAATTTCTGAATTTCTGAATTTCTGAATTTCTGAATTTCTGAATTTCTGAATTTCTGAATTTCTGAATTTCTGAATTTCTCAATTTCCAAGTTTCTGAATTTCTGAATTTCTGAATTTCGGAATTTCGGAATTTCTGAATTTCGGAATTTCGGAATTTCGGAATTTCGGAATTCTGGAATTTCTGAATTTCTGAATTTCTGAATTTCGGAATTTCGGAATTTCGGAATTCTGGAATTTCTGAATTTCTGAATTTCTGAATTTCTGAATTTCTGAATTTCTCAATTTCCGAGTTTCTGAATTTCTGAATTTCTGAATTTCTGAATTTCTCAATTTCGGAATTTCGGAATTTCGGAATTCTGGAATTTCTGAATTTCTGAATTTCTGAATTTCGGAATTTCGGAATTTCTGAATTTCTGAATTTCTCAATTTCCAAGTTTCTGAATTTCTGAATTTCTGAATTTCTGAATTTCTGAATTTCTGAATTTCTGAATTTCTGAATTTCTGAATTTCTGAATTTCTGAATTTCTGAATTTCTGAATTTCTGAATTTCTGAATTTCTGAATTTCTAAATTTCTGAATTTCTGAATTTCTGAATTTCCAAGTTTCTGAATTTCTGAATTTCGGAATTTCGGAATTCCGGAATTTCTGAATTTCTGAATTTCTGAATTTCTGAATTTCTGAATTTCTGAATTTCTGAATTTCTGAATTTTTAAAAAATTACTCAATGATTCCATAAATCCAAATTTCTTCTCTGTACTTTCTAGAGAATTTTCGACACTTTTCGACGGCATCATTGCAAATGTGACAATTGCGATTGCTGACATTCCAGAGAACGCGGCTGACAGCAATCTTCTGGAAATTCAAAATTTTCAAAAAAAAAAATTTTTTTCCTCACATTTCATTCTCACTGTATCTTCGTTCGTGTTGAATGTGAACTTTATCAGCAGAAAACGTAGAATTCTGGATTACAGTAGTCGGTTCGGGTACACTGAGCGATGTGATGCCAGCTAGGATACCGGCTCCGAGCATGAGGCTAGAAAAAATGCCGGAGTTCACTGGAAATGCGTCAAGGCACTCAAAATGCGTCAAGGCACCAGAAATGCGCCAAGGAACCAAAATAGAGCTAAAGCGCCAGGGGTGCAAGGAATGCGCCAAGAGCACTTAAAGTGTGTCAAGTGTACGAAAGTGCATCAAGATGCCAGAAATGCGTCAAGGCACCAGAAATTTGACAAAGGGTCCAAAAACGTTTCTGGTACCTGAAGTGTGTCAAAAACACTCAAAACGCCCCAACTCACCAACAAATCATGATGCACTGTAAACGCGCCAACGCACTAGAAATGTGTCAAGTCAACAGAAATGCACCAAGACACCAAAAAGGCGTCAAGATACTAGAAGTGCGTCAAGTCACCAAAAATGCACAAAGTCACGAAAAATGCATCAAGGCAGCAGAAATGCGTCAAGGCACCAGAAATGCGTCAAGGGTCCTAAAATTGCGTCAAGGGTGCTACAAATGCGTCAAGGATCCTAGAAACGAGAAAAGTCACCAGAAATGCGTCAAGTCTCTAGGAATGCGCAAACGCACCAAAAATGCGCTCAGAGCACCGAAAACGCGCCAAGAGTATAAAAATGCGCAAAATAGCCAGAGTCAAGAAAATCCATAAAAGACCTCAATCAGCACTATAGTTAAAACAAAAGTTCAATGCACTGAAAACGCGCCAAGTCACCAGAAATGCTTCAAGGGCACCAGAAATGTGCAAAGACACTCCTGAGACACTGTGCCAATTGTTTCAAAATAGCAAAAAAAAGAACTGAATCAACAAATGGCTTTTTCAAAAGTCCCATGCGCCAAAAACGCGCCAAAGCACTAGAAATGCGTCAAGAGAACTCACCAGCAACATCCAACGGACCAAGAAATCGATACATTCGATTCGATAGTTTCCCTAGTTGAGTGTTGGGATAGATAACTTCCCATTCCAAGATAATAAACTGAAAAATAGTTTTTTTTCAGAAAATTTCTCGAAATTTTTCTGAAAATTTCTTATTTTGCAAATTTTCAGATGGTTTTTTTTTCTGAAATTTCCCAAACCAGAAAAACCAAAAAAAAATTTTTTTTCAAAATTTTTTTTTCCAGAAACTTCCAGAAATTTTGCTGGAAATCTGAAAATCTGAAAAACTCACAAGACGTGCCCACACCCAATAAGATAGCGGTGAAAAAATAGAAATAGGTGTTAAAAAATAGGAATCCAAATGGGAAAAGTGTATAGGAGATTGCCGAAAATATGAGAAGAATTTTGGGAGTAGTGACATTGAGAATGGATGGTGCGAATAGACATCCAGTCATGTAGGCACAGAATATTACGGCTTGGCTGAAATTTTTTTTTTAATTTTGAATTTTTGGAATTTTTTTTTACTTTGAACACTTTTTCTTGACTAGAATCACAAGATTTCGAAAACTCTATACATTTTTGAAATCAGCGTGAAAAGAGCTTCAAAACGAGTATAATCATGCCCTACTTTCCATGAATTTCATTTTTCGGACCCCCTATGCGCCTTTAAAGTCAAAAAGTGTCAAAAATCGAAATTGACGGAGCTTAGTCGTGTTTATACTCATTTTGAAGCTCTCAACAAGACAAGTAAAAATATACTAAAACATTTTAGTCTTCTTCAAAATTGTTCGAGTTACGGTATCTTGAAGTTGAAAAAATAATTTTCAAAAAAAAAATTTTTAATCAAAACTTTTTTGCTACAATCTCAAGATGTTGAAAAACTATACACATTGTCAAAATCAGCTTAAAAAAAGCTTCAAAACGAGTATAATCATGCCCAACTTTCCATGAATTTCGTTTTTCGGACCCCTATGCGCCTTTAAAGTCAAAAAGTGTCAAAATTCAAAATGGGCGGAGCCTAGTCGTGTTTAGGCTCATTTTGAAGCTTTCAACAAGGCAAATACAGATTCATTTGAATATTCCGGTTTGCTCCGGAATTGTTCGAGTTACGGTATTTTGCAAAAAAAATTTAATTTCAAAATTTTTTATTTCGAAACAATTATTCCAAAAATTGCTCACCAATAATAACCAGCATACTGGCTAACTTTTTCGGGATCTCTCTCATGAATCGAATGAATTACAGATTCCAGAATAAAAGATTCTGAATCATACCCGACCATTATACATAATTGCCCAAATCCGAGCATCGCAGCACATAGGATTTCAAAATTTCGTTGTTTCATGGCTTTTTCTGGAATTTTCTGACTTTAATTTTATAAAAAAAATTAGAAAAAATTTAAATCAGAAAAATATTTAAAAAAATATTTTTTAATTAAATTTTTTTAAATTAATTTTTTTTAAAATAAAAGTTTTCAAAAAATTCAAATTCTCACATTTTCCGTTTCTTTGGTCAGTATATAAACCTAAACCTGTATAGACTAAAAATTACGAATTTGCATAATCGGACACACAAAGTGATGTTCTGCACCCCGTCATTTTTCCATGAAAATTTGAAATTTGAATTCTGAATTTTGGAAATTTTCAGGTGGAAAAATGTGAGTGATGTTGTGCAATATTAGCTGAAAATGATTTTTTTTAGATTTAAAAAAAAATCTCTAAAATCTTACTAAAAAAAATATTCTCACTAAGGAATATTCTCACTAAGAGCGGTTCTCACTAAGAAAGGCATACTTGTAAAATTCCGGGCCGGTGCCTGAGGAAAATTTTGAGACCCGGGCCCGGCCCGGGAAGGCCCGGTAGCAAGAATTTTGTCATTTTGAACCGAATCTCAATACAATTTTGAACCGAATCTCAATACAGCTCTCAATACAATTTTCGGCTCTTTTCTAGTTTAGAGGTCCCAAAAAAGAATAGGGGTCCCAAAAAAGAATAGAGGCCCGAAAAAAAATTAGACGTCCCAAAATAAAATAGAGGTCCCAAAAAAAAACTAGAGGTCCCAAAAAAGTTTAGTGGTCCCAAGAAAAAATAGTGGTCCAAAACTTAAAAATGCACAGATACCGGAATAATGTACTAAAATTTGAATTGTGTAAGAATTTAAAGTTTTGAGGTCTTATAGCAAAATAATTGTTGATGATATATTTTATACTTCTAATAGGCTTAGGAATGCATATTTTCTGACAATTATCTAAGCCTGAGAAACAGCATAATCACGGAGTGATTACTGTATTGCCCAAATTTTCCTCATATGTAAATTGGGTTCATCGGCAAGATGCGAGAGAATTGGAGCTAAAATTGTTAGGAGTAGTCATGTCATCCTATAAGACCCTAAAACTCAAACTACTCGCACAGTTCAAATACTAGTACATTATTCCAACATCTGCGCGTTTTTCGTATTTCGGACCTCTATTTTTTCTTGGGACCTCTAAACTTTTTTGGGACCTCTAATTTTTTTTTTTGGGACCACTATTTTATTTTGGGACCTCTAATTTTTTTTCGGACCTCTAAATTTTTTTGGGACCTCTAAACTAGAAAAGAGCCCAATTTTCTATATTTTTTTGTGCTTTTTGGATTGTTTGTCTGTTTGATCAAAAAATATAAAGGGTCCCCCCTTATGTGTTTTTTGAAATTTTCAAAACTTGTGTGACAGGCCCGCCGGGCCGGGTCTCCGAAATTCCGAAAAAAGCCCGGCCCGGCCCGTTACAAGTATGAAGAGAGGTTCTCACTGAAGAAGGTTCTCACTAAGAAATATTCTCACTAAGAAAAATTTCAAAATGATGAATTATCAATTTTTTCTCCAAATTTTTATCTTCATTTTCACAATATATTCCAGAACCTTGAACAAAATTTATTTTTTTTAATCACAGAATCTCAAAAAGCCTGTCTGGCTTTGGCAAATCCAATTCTCGCATGTTCAATATCATAAATATTACAGTATTCCCTTATAAAAACATTTCCAAATATCCAAGACGGTCCGAATCCTCCATTGCTCATCCCAAAAATCGCCAAAGCACAATTTCCTCGTCCCAATTGCACATCCAACACAAATTCCACCGATTTGACAATGAATTTCTTTGTTCCAATTGTAAAAATGAGGTCCGGATGAAAATATGTGGTTGAGCAAGGCACTATATAAAGGTGATTAATGGTATCGTATACTGCTTTCGTTTGTTTGACGATTTGGGACAAGACACTGGTTGGGACACCTAGCCAAGAGGTCCCAGTGTCTGAAATTGCCTGAAAATTATGATTTCAACATTTCAAATATTATTGGAAAATGTCGCGGTTCTGAAATGTCGCGGTTCTTAAATGTCACGGTTTTAAACTGTCGAGGTTCTAAAACTTCGTTATTCTAAAATTTCGCGGTTCTAAAATGTCACGGTTCTGAAATGTCACAGTTCTGAAACGTCGCGGTTCTTAAATGTCACGGTTTTAAACCGTCGAGGTTCTAAAACTTCTTTATTCTAAAATTTAGCGGTTCTAAAATGTCACGGTTTTAAAACATCGCAGTTCTAAAACGTCGCGGTTCTTAAATGTCACGGTTCTAAAACGTCCGGTTATAAATTTTGGAAAAAATCAGAAAATTTTCCGAAAAGTTACCGATAGTTTTCGGTAAATTTATCGGTATCATACCGGTAAGTTACCGGTAAAAATTCTGGTAGATTTATCGAAACCGTATCGGTAGCACACACTGCCAACTAGTAATTTCAAGAAAAAATAGGCTACAAACTCTTGTTTTAAATTATTTCAAAAAAAAAAGAGAAAATTAAAAAATAGCTCATCCAATCTCACCTGAGCCTTCTTCACTTGCGTAAAACTCCCCATCGAAAATCCATCAATCGCAAATTGCCAATAACTCAACGCTGTCAAGGGCACCCAATCAACTTCAGCAGCACAATTAACCGTATCAATTGTTCCAAAAGTGATAAGTCCTCCCGGTTCTCCATGAGCCGGTATCACCTTTCTCTCCAAATACACACTAAAAAGTTTCGAATCCAATTGAGGAAGAAGATTCTGCATGGGGGGTGTTAACTGATCAACGGCTAGCGCGGGCCATGCCAACCCTAGAATTCCATCGATTGGCTGATACTGGAAGACATCTGCAATCTGATCAGCTACACCGAATGCTTGAAACCAGATTTTAAGGTTTCCTCCGATGGTAATTGTATCCCTCCCAATGAATCCCCCAACTGCTCCCGAAGAATACTGTATTGAGAATTTTCTAGCCTCATTTTCAAATGTTGAAGACTTATTAGTGTTGAATGGATGTCTAGTATACGCGAATCCTTCACATTCAATGCAATCGGCATCGATTACCCAAAGATTTGAAGAGCCAGTATCCAGGATTACGGTAGCTGCCTGGGGTGGGGTGCCTAGAGTGATGTTTCCTAGGTAAAAATCGTCATAAAAGTCGATGAAGGGTTGAGAGCCAGTGGCAAGCTGTTGATTGGCAAGGAAATGAGCATATCTACCCTCGGAAATGAGCTTGGAGCGGAAGGAAGGGGATTTGAGGGTTTGCAATTGGAAGACACCTGCGGAGCATGAAGATAGGAAGAGGAGAAGAAGGATTGGGATATGATTCATAGCTGAAAGGATGGGAGAATTTGAAATTCGTTATATTCTGAAAATGCTAATTTCTAAAATTCAAAGGTTATGGAATTGGGACAACTTTGAAGCGAGTTATGAGCATTTTACATGAAAATGAACATTAAAGGGATATACGAAATTTTACAAAAAACCAAAAATCACAAAAATATGGCTTACTCATACTCATCTGAACCGTCTTAAATTGTTGATTTTGAAAATGTACTTTACATTTAATTTGGTTTAATTTGGAGCAAGTTATGAGAATTTTACACAAGAAAAACAATGATTAAAGGATGCGAAAGTTTACAAAAATCGAAATTTTGGAAATTATGGCTTTTTTATACTCATCTGAACCGTCTTAACTTGCTGATAGCAAAAACAAACATTTTCTAGAAATCGGTTGAGTTTTGAGCGAGTTATGGGCATTTTACACAAAATCGCTAGCTAACACGAAAAATCGAAAATTTCAAAACTATGGCTTGTTTATGATTATTTTGACCGGCAAAATTTGGTGATTTCAATAATATAACTTTCTTGAATTTCAGTCAAATTTAGCCCAAGTTCTGAGCGTTTCACATAAAAATGAACTTTAAAGGCGCATGCTAAATTAAAAACAAAGCGAAAGTTTCGAAACTATGGCTTGTTCATACTTATTTAAACCGTCTAAAACTGCTGAATTCAAAAACATAAATTTTACTGAATTTGGGCAGCTTTCAAGCGAGTTATGACAATTTCTCATAAAATCGCTAGCTTATACAAAAATCGCAACTTTTTGAAACTATGTATTGTTTATACTCATTTAACCCGTTTTAACGTGCTGATTCTAATAATATTAGTTTCATAAAAATTGATTGAGTTTGAAGCGAATTATGGTCGTTTTTCATAAAATCGCTAGCTTATGCGAAAAATCGAAAATATCAGAAGTATAGCTTGTTCATACTCGTTCAAACCGTCTTTAAGTGCTGATTTCAAAAATGTATGTTTCCGAAAAACCGGTTGAGTTTCAAGCGAGTTAAGGCGATTTTTCATAAAATCGCTAGCTTATACGAGAAATCGAAAATTTTTTTAAACCGCCGAACCATGCAAAGTTCAAAAATATAAGTTAAATTGTATTTGGACAAAAACTGAGCAGGTTATGAGCAATTAAACTTTTACAAATTTTGCCGTACTCATCATACATTATAAAAATTGCCATAAATCTCTTGAAAAATAATATTTTTAAACAATTCAAATTGGAAAATGTGGATCTTTCAAAGATCTTAAAAATTATGTCAAATTGAATTTTACTTATATAATGTTAAGGTCTCAAAATGGACCAGCAATAAGTAATACCAAAGAATCTCGAATAATTAGTAAACTACAATAAAATCATTCTAACTTTTTTCAAAATCAATGTTTTCGAAAATCTTGAGAATTATGAAATAGAGCTTAATTGAATCCACAAAATGATGTAAATTTGGGTAGTTCAGATTTCATTACATTTGAGAAGGAGCCCTTCCAAATCAGTAATATCTTCATTACTTTCTTCAAGGACAGTATTTTAAGAAAATTCAAAAAGTATAAATTAGAGCTTAACTAAAATCTACAAAATGGTGTAAAATTCGATAATCAGTGTTTCCTACATATTGTATTATTCATCATCATTTTTATATCGAAAAACGTCATTTAATTTCACCTCCCTGATAACAGATTATGAATCTTGTAGCTCATGAACTCAGCACAAACATCATGGAACAAACCATTTCAATTCAAAACATTCCTTAATCAAACATTTAAAAGAATATCTAAAAACTATGTTTAGCCATCGTAAAGCCAATTCTCTCCTTTCCGATGTCATAAATATTACAGTATTGCCGAATAAAAGTGTCTCCAAGAATCCAAGACGGTCCGAAGCCCATGTAGGTCATTCCGAAGAACGTCAACGCACAATTCCCCTTTCCCAATCTGAGGTCCAAAATGTACTCAACGGATTTTACATTATATTGGATGCCTCCAAATGATGTCCGGTTGAGTTTGCATTGTGGAGCAAGGGACCACGTAGAGCTCAGTGATCCATTCGAATCTGGCTCCAGTTGCCTTGAGGACGGCGGAGATGATGGAGTGAGGAGCACCGATCCAGGAGGTACCGGTGTCGGAGATGACCTGCAATTTGCTTTTTTGTTCAGTTTGCAACTTAAAACTCTTGATTTTAAAAATTTAGTTTGTATGATTATTTTAAAGGCGCAAGCCGAATTTCGCAAGAAATTCAAAGTGGGAATCTTTCTTATTAAGGGAATTTCTCAGTGAGGGTCTTTCTTAGTAAGAGTCTTTCTTAGTGGGGATCTTTCTCAGTCAGGATCAGAGATGAGCGGAAGAGATTTACGGAAATTTACGGAAATTTACGGAAGACGGTTTATTTTCAAAATGAAAAATGCTACCAAAAAGTTGTGAACGGACAAAATGTAGATCTCAATGAGAGCTATCGATTGGTATAAAAGTTATTTCATAATAGTGATGGAAAGTTGAGATATGGCGTTTCTTCCGTGTTCCGTCTGGCACACGGAAGACGGAAGAAAGACTCTATTTGAATAATCCAACAAAATTTCAAAACAATTTTAATACCAATCGATAGCTCTCATTGAGATCTACATTTTGTCTGTTGACAGCTTTTTGGTAGCATTTTTCATTTCGAAGATAAACCGTCTTCCGTAAATTTCCGTAAAACTCTTCCGCTCATCTCTGGTCAGGATCTTTCTGATTAAGGGTATTCCTTAGTAAGAAGCCTTCTTAGTGAGAAACTTTCTAAGTGGGGATCTTTCTTATTGAGGTTATTTCTCAGTGAGAATATTTCTTATTAAGGGTATTTCTTAGTGAAAGCCTTAATTAGTGCGGGTCTTTCTTATTGAGGGTCTTTCTTATTAAAGGTGGGGGGACAGGAGATTTTTCGTGGTTTTTTTGTAGCTAGAGTATGCATTCTACCGTCACGGTGTACAACGCTTAATGTCACTCTGCGTACAGCTGTTGTCCTCGCCTTTATGTATGCAATCGGGCGTGCGCTTTCTCTTTGCCCGCGTGGCTCAGTCGGTAGCGGCGCCGCACCCTCAATCATCGCCCTCACAAGTTCAACTCCTCGAGGGGCATCTTTGAACGGAATTTCGAGAACATTATTTTTTTCTTGTCCCCCCACCTTTAAGGGTCTTTTTTAGTGAGAGTTTTTCTTAGTGAGAGTCTTTCTTAGTGAGAATTTTTCTTATTAAATTTCATTCTTTGTGATAATTTTTCTGTTTGAGGATCTATTGATGATCAAATTTTGAACATAAAATACAAAATAAAAATTAGAAATTTCGAATTTTTTCCAAACTATATCTTGTTTATACTCATTTTGGCCCGCTTACCTTGCTGATTTCAAAAATGTAGCTTTCATTCAATTCCAACAATTTTGAGCTGAGATATTATCATTTTTCCTTTGTAGATCGGCTCAAATTTTGAGTCATAATCCTATGAATCCCAAGAATCATGTGATATTTGAAGCTCTAATTTTTTAGTGAAAAACAGAAAGATTATCACCTGGCTCTCCGTGCGTCACAAATCTGATCATACGGAAAAAAAAAACAATTTTTTGAAGCTATTTTTGGATTTCTCAGTCTCCGCCCACTTTTTTTGGACGATGTGTATAAAAACGAATATTTAGGAGGAATTTTTTTTAGAATTGTATACGTAAGGTCTATGGCAACCGTCTGATAGGATGCCCAGAAGTTTAGTTAGATTTTATTTTTTTGAATATTCCTATTTTGTAAGTAAGTAAAAAAAAATTTTCGAAAAAAAAATTTTTTTTTTTTTTGAAATTTCAATTTTCAGATTTCTAAAATATTATGAATATATATTTTACATCATCTGGTTTAGGTTTTCAATTAATTGTGAGTTTAAAACATTGATTTTTTAAAAATTTAAAATTTTCAGATTTTCAAGAGAACTCGTTGCCTGCATGGCTTCACCAGAAAATAGTTTTTTAATTAGGTAATTATTTTTTAATTAGGTAATTATATAAACATTTCTATTATTATAGGAGAGAACCATGACAGTGGGAGGTCAAATTTTATTTTTAATTTCGGACACCCTCGCAGCTACCACCGTGGTTGGACAATATTTTTTAATTAGGTAAATTTTTGAAAAAATTTAAAAATTAATAAAAAATTATAGTTTTCAGAAATTTAAGAAAAAAATTTTTCAGTAAGAACAATTACTCTCGGCGGGCACAACAATTTTGTTTGATTAGGTTTTTTTTTTTGGATTTTCAAGTCTCTGAGTTCCCTCTCGCCTACCACCGTACTCGGACTATTTTTTTTTGGTTAGGTGAATTTTTGAAAAATTAATTTAAAAAAAAAAAAAATTTGAGTTTTCAGATTTATTATTGGAACACCAACAACGGCAAAGATTGACATATATAATAAATTTTTTAAATTTCAAATTTTTCAGACTGCCAAAGTTTGGGATACAGCAAAAAATTTGTTTAAATTGTTTTTTGTTGTTATTTTTTAAAATGAATTGTTGTAATTTTTATTTTTTCGGATTTTTTAATTACAGATTTTCAGATTTTCATGCTGAAAATGATGAAAAACGTGCGTTTTTCCAACTCACACATTCGAAAAATAGCTAAAACAATTGTTTTTCGTGTGATCATATCATTATCACCTGTTAATCCGAAAATACATTATTTTTAGAGTGATGTGATAGATATCCCAGTATCACATGATTTTGGAAACAAAAATAACTTGGGATTTAGGATTATGACTCAAAACGTGAGCAGAGCTATGAGGAAAAATGCTCATATCTTGGCTCAAAATTGTTGAAATCAAATGAAAGTTACATTTTTGAAATTAGCAAGTTAAGATGGTCAGAATGAGTATAAACAAGCCATAGTTTTGGAATTCTCAATTTTTCGAATTAGCTAGCGATTTTTTTTGTAAAATGATCATAACTCGCTTGAAATTTTTCCAATTTTTATGAAACATAAATTTTTGAAATCAGCAAATTAAGGCGGTTTGAATAAGTATAAACAAGACATATTTCCAAAATTCTCGATTTTTTGCATAAGCTAGCGATTTTATGTAAAATGCTTATAATTCGCTTCAAACTCAGCCGAACTTTACAAGAACTATATTTTTGGAATCAGTACTTTAAGGCGGTTTGGAAAAATATAAATTTGCCATAATTAATTTGGCATGCGCCTTTAAAATTCCCATAACTCGCTTCGAACTCACCCGAATTTTGTAAAATTTGTATTTTCAGAAACTACAAGTCAAGCGCTTCAAAATTGATATTAGAAACTATAGTTTTGCGAATGCTCTCGCTTTCAAATCATCCCATTTCGATGTAGCCTTTAATTTTGGAATCGAGTTTCCGAAATTTCTGCAAACTACTTCAAGAATCAAACTTCAACATCAATTTCAAAATTTCTCCTGCAAGAAACTATTTTCGCAACATTTTCCTTTGCTAGCATAGTTCTTATCAATAGAGTGTGACTTCTTATCAGTGTTAAAAAAAAAGACCAAGACTCGAAATTTTATTAAAGGAAATGTGTGCAAATTGTACACTAAATCAGTTCTTAGGCGACTTAATCAGATTAGAAGCTGTGGTGAGCGTTGGCGAATCCGATTCTGGCGTTTCCAATATCGTAGATGTTACAGTATTGGCGGATGAAGGTGTCTCCAAGGATCCAGGATGGTCCGAAGCCACCATTTCCCATGGAGAAGACGGCCAAAGCGCACTTTCCACCTCCGAGTTGAAGGTCCAAGATGTACTCGACAGACTTGACGTTGTATTTGGTTCCTCCGATGGTGAAGACGAGGTCTGGTTGGGTTTGCATGGTCGAGCAGTCAACGGTGTAGAGCTCGTTGGTCCAGTCGAAGGTGGCCTTGGTGGCCTTGACGATTCCGGACACGACGGTGTTTGGGGCTCCGAGCCAGGAGGTTCCGGTGTCGGAGATGACCTGGAAAATTGATTTGTTTAGGACTTCGGAGCCTTGAATCTACGGATTTATATTCATTCAAACCGCTTTAACGTTCTAATTCTAAAAATATCGATTTCATAAAAGTTGGTCAAGTTTGAAGCGAGTTATGAGCATTTCACCGAAAAATTCGAAATTCCAAAATCTAGGCTACATTGAAGTTGGATGATTTTGAAGCAAGATAATTTTTGAAATTATGGTTTTTTATATGAAATTTAAAGCTCTAAACTTGCTAATTCTTAAATTCTTTATTTCACTAAATTTAGTTTAGTTTGAAGCTAGTTATGGCCATTTTAAAGGCGCATTCCAGATTTTGCCATAAATCAAAGCTCTTGAAATTATTGCTTATTTACATTCATCAAAACCGTCTGACAATGCTGATTTCAAAAATATAGTTTTTTTGATTCTAATAATATTAGTTTCATAAAAATTGATTGAGTTTGAAGCGAATTATGGTCGTTTTTCATAAAATCGCTAGCTTATGCGAAAAATCGAAAATATCAGAAGTATAGCTTGTTCATACTCGTTCAAACCGTCTTTAAGTGCTGATTTCAAAAATGTATGTTTCCGAAAAACCGGTTGAGTTTCAAGCGAGTTAAGGCGATTTTTCATAAAATCGCTAGCTTATACGAGAAATCGAAAATTTCCAAACTATGGCTTGTTTATACTCATTTTGACCGGAATAGTCTGCTGATTTCAAAAATTAGACTTTCAGCGCTTTCAAGCGAAATTGAGCTAAGGTATGGGCGAATTTAGCTGCTTTTGTGATACCGTATGAGCAAAAAGATCTCTTAAGCTCAAAAGTTCAGCTACTCACTTGATCCTTCTTGTTCTCGGAGAAAGTTCCGACGGAGAATCCATCAAGAGCGAATTGCCAGTATGTCTTAGCGGTCAATGGAACATAGGTGATTTGAGAGTCGCAGTTGGTGGTATCAACAGCTCCATAGGTGATAAGTCCACCGGATCCTCCTTGGGAGATGGTGAGCTTGCGATCGAGCCAAACGGTGAAGAGTGGAGCATCAAGTTGTGGAAGAACGTTTTGCATTGGTGGCACAACCTTGTCAACAGCGAGTGCTGGCCATCCCAATCCGAGGATTCCGTCGACTGGTTGGTATCCGAAGACCTCAGCCAAGTGGGTGGCAACTCCGAACTCTTGGGACTTGATGGTGAGTCCTCCGAAGGTGATGGTGTCGGTTCCGAGGTATCCGTTGCAGGATCCGGATCCGTATTGGATCGAGAACTTGCGGGTCTCCTTGGTGAAGGTCGACGACTTGGTGGTGTCGAACTTCTGCTTCTTGTATCCAGAGTCTGGGTATCCGTTGCAAGCTTGGGAGTTGCATGCAGCATCAATAACCCACAAGTTGGAGGATCCAGTGTCCAAAACGATGGTGGCTGGTTGTGGTGGGGTTCCGAGGGTGATGTTTCCGAGGTAGAAGTCGTCAAAGTAGTCGAGGAATGGTTGGGAGCCGGAGTTCAATTGCTCGATACGGGCGGCGTGTTGGGTGGCGAGGAATTGTGGGTAGGTTCCCTCGGAGATGAGCTTGGCGCGGAGCGATCCGGATTGGGTGGCTGGCACCTTGAAGACGGCGGCGGAGCATGCCGCCACGAGGGCGAGCAAAACGAAGGTCTTCATACCTGCAAAATTCATTGTTGACGAGGATGATGTTAAAAAGTAAGAATTATTGGAAGGCGGGAAGTTCAAACTTGAAAGTGCCCAAACTTTTTTAGAGTTGGCTAATGGAGCTAGCTTTTTAGAGCTCAGCTTAAGGTTGGAAGTTTAGCTGAAAACTTCGCTCTGAGCTTAATGGATTAAGGTTAATGTTTGAAGTTATGTTTAAGGTTTAAGGTAATGTGGAAGTGAGGCTTAAGCTTCAAAGTTGAGCTGAAGGTTTAAGGGTGAGCTTAAGGACTTAGCTTTGAAGCCTTAAGGTACTTATAACAACTAAAATCCTATATAAATGTTATACCAATAGATAGCTCTTGAAATTTCCTATCGATCTAACTAAGTTTGAAAGTTTTAACTCCATCTTAAGGTGAGTTATGGGTCCTTAAAGGCGCATAGGCCTAAAAAAAGATAGAAAGTTCTAGAGAATAGAAAAAAGATATTGATAGTGACTTCTCTTGCCTTCCTTTTATACTATATTCTGGCTCCGGCTCATTTCTAGGCTCCGCCCACTTTCTTATCACCCCCTATTTTACGTCATTGCCATTTTACAATCTTCCAAGGACTACACACAATTCTTATCAGTTTCTCATTTTCTCTCTCTCTCTTTCTCTCTCTCTCTCTCTCTCTCTCTCTCTCTCTCTCTCTCTCTCTCTCTCTCTCTTTCTCTTTGTACTTATTAATAATGATGATGATCGCGAGTTTTCACTTTTTACATCAAGCAAAGAAATTTGGAGCAGGAATTAAAAAAAAGCAGTGCACTAAAAGTTAAAAAATCGAAAAAAAAAGTTTGGATGATCACATGGTTTGAAGAAAAGGCATCTATTTTTGGTAGGAGTATTTTTGAAATTTATAGTTTTACACTTTATGTAAAAATGTGACCAATTTGGAGCAGGAAAAACATAATTTTAGGTTAGTTTTTAGAAGTTTTAGGATTTCGAAAAAAATTTAAATTTTTTAAACTTTTGTTTTCCATTTTGAAACCTTATTCTCAACTCTTGATCTTCAATAGATCCACAATAAAAAGTCTCACTACGAAAGATTCTCACTAACTATAAGAAAGATCCTCAATAGGTAAGATTCTCACTAAGAAAGATTCTTACTAAGAAAGATTCTTACTAAGAAAGATTCTCAATAGGTAAGATTCTCACTAAGGAAGATTCTCAAGCTCTTTTTTTTGTAACTTTGACTAATTTCAGACCCCATAATCGCACAGACTTCAAAATTTTTTGTAGTTTTCAATTTTTTATTGAAACCCGTTTTAAATTTAAATTTCATAAAAGAACTTTTGTAAAAATTTTTTTCCAGTTTTTCCAAATTTTGAAGAAATTTTCCTAACAAATCTTTTCAGGTTGTCACCAGTTATCTTTTTCCAGTTCACTTTTCAATCGTTTCTGTAATTTTCAAATAATTTTTTTTCCAGATTTTTTCCAGATTTCCCCTTTCTCCATTTCCCCAATTTTTTCTTTCAGATTTTCCAAAAATGCTGAAATCCAAAAATCAACAAAAATGTTGATTTTAGAAGACAATGTATCACATTTCAAGACGTCTTTAGAATTCCTGGATTCCCTGAAAAATGGACGCCGAAATTGTCTTTTTTAACGATTTTCAAATAATATAAAATGCAGAAAAAAGAAAAAAATATTGAGTTACAATGTAGAATTTTTCGCTTTTTTCTGAATTTTGATTTTCAAAAAATTTTTTTTCAAAATAAAAAAAAAAATTATTTTCTTTTTTTTTCAATTTTCTCATTATCAGCTATAAACTACTGAAATGATGTGTTTTCCTAATGTCAAACTACCACATTGATGTCAGTTTCATAGTTTTTCCACCTCAAAATTTTTTTGTTCTAGCACCAATTTTTAGAATTAAAAAAATTGTCATTGAATTATTTTATTCCAAAAAAAAATTCCTGCAAAACTTGCACAGCTTTTTGCTGAAAGTGCTGAAAATTGAATTGTCATTAAATTTTTATTACAGCACACAAAATTTTATTGGCCTCCCATTATTCATGATTCCGGTTTTAAACATTTTATGGAGAATACGAAAAAATATTTTTTACGATTTTTTAGAAATTCAGAAATTCAGAAATTCAGAAATTCAGAAATTCAGAAATTCAGAAATTCAGAAATTCAGAAATTCAGAAATTCAGAAATTCAGAAATTCAGAAATTCAGAAATTCAGAAATTTAGAAATTCAGAAATTCAGAAATTCAGAAATTCAGAAATTCAGAAATTCAGAAATTCAGAAATTCAGAAATTCAGAAATTCAGAAATTCAGAAATTTCAAAATCTCGGAATTTCAGAATTTTGAAAATTTAGAAATTCACAAAAGTTTTATCAAATTTGTCCTTTTTTAAATCGGTGCCAACAATTCCCTATTTTCCAAAACCGTCGGTAAAGTCTGAAAATCTGAAAAATGACGTTATTTTTAAATTATCACTATGATTATCACTATTATCAGTTATTTCCGCTTCTGTGCCTGTCGAATCAAAAACAGGTCAACCATTCATTGAATGACCAGTTTCCCCCCAAAATCCGGTTTCCCAAAAAAGCTGACAATATACAATTTCTTCGCCTCGTGACCAAACAAACTTTTTTATCACTATTATCACCACAAAATTTTTGGTTTCGTGTCCTAAATAAATAATTCCTCTTCTTTTCTCTTTCTTCTAATTCCAAGTGTCCGAAAAGAAGTAAAACTTCTTATCATTTTCTGAAAAATTGTAAAAAGAGAAATTAAGAAATCCACTTTAATAGTATTAATTGTTGGAAACAAAAAGAAAAGGAGAAAAAAGAGAAAGAAAAAGAAAGCAATGATCAATTACAATTTGGGAATAAGCCTGGAAAAAATAATCAAAAAATGAAATGGATGATTTGAGAAACCTATGATTAATCTTATTTATCTCAATTACTATAAAAGATATCAACAATTAATCAATTTAAAAAAAGTTTATTATAAAATTTCCAACATTTTGTTAGTTATTAAAATTTTGATATCTTTCATAGCAACTGAGATAATAAGCTCAAAATTCAATTAGTAGAAAATTATGAAAACACTAGAAAGCTACAATTATCCCTAATTATCTCGATTTCTATAAAAGATATCAAAATTTTATGAACTGATAAAGTAATTATCATAAAATCAGCAGCATTTTATTAGTTAACCAATTTTTGATATCTTCGATAGGAGCTGAGATAATTGAGCTCAAAATTTAATTACTAGAAAATAATGAAAATATAGAAAGCCTCTAATTACGCCTAATTATCTCGGTTCCTACAATCGATATCAACAATTAACCAACTATTAAAATGTTTATTATAAAATTTCCAACATTTTATCAGTTGAAAATATTTTGATATCTCTGACAGGAAACGGGATAATTAAGCTTTAAGGAACATCTCTTCAATAAGAAGGATGCCGGCAGGCTATTGAAGTGGTGGCAGGAGAAAGTACCTGCCGGCGGACTAAACGACACTCCGCTCGCCGGGATTTTAATTTGCATATTTTATTATTTTGTTTTAAAGCTAAAATTGATTATGTCTATTATTTTACTGAATTACTTTTACGAGGTATATAAAATTATTTGTTCCGACACTGTGTACATTCTGAAAAGGAAAAGTATTGCTCCGACATTGCAAATTTCCTTATATTTTTCAGAATATCCCAAAATGACTCCTCAAACACCTCGCGGTCGTTTCTGCAACAATGGATCTGTGTCTACGTTTCCTCCTCCAACAGGTATTTATACCATAATTTATCAGTTAAAAAAAACTTTACTGTCGTGGAATATCACATATTCCACGAGTCTTTAATCTCAAATGAGGAAAATCCTTTAATCTCAAATGAGGAAAATCCCTCTAATGTTCTTTCAGGTTTCTTCAGATCTTTTACACCCCAACGGCCTGCATTCAAACTCCCGCCAACGTCACCAGTTTGAAGCGTCTCGTGCGACTCCACGAACAGCACGCTTCTCCGGCGCCAAGTTCAAGTCACCTGCTCAAACAGGTCACATTAATTCTCTCTTATCTTTGAGATGACCTTAAGTCATCTTTCGCTAATCTTTTCTCTATAATTATATTTAATAAAGACTTAGTAATAAGTCAATGTTCTTTCTATTGACATTTAGGTGCACAGTTTCTAATTCCTCACATTCGTTGAACTCTTCATCGTTTTCTCTCTTGTCTTCGACGTCGAACCAATTGTGTCACTGTCTCTGGCAGTGGACCACAAAAGATTCGAAGATATTCATTTTTCAAAACAAAATAAAAATGTTAAACAAATTGAGGTTTCAAGAAAATGTTGCTCTTTCTTCTTTCACATAGAAATACAAGAGTTTCAGCGACTGTGAGTAAAGTGGCTCCGACATATAAACCAATAGTACCTCCAATTTCGGCTAAAAGGAAATAATTGGAAAACGAGTTTGAAAATACTTACCAAGAAGTAAAAACATGTTATATGATCTTTCTTGCAGAATCGTATCTTGCTTAAAATGTGCAAAATAGAATTTTATGTGCAGGAGATTCACACTGAAAATCAATAATTCAAAATTCTCATCGTAACTAAGATCTTCTACTAACACATCATATTGATGGGTTGGTGAATAAGATTGAGCCATCAGGACTTGGTTTCGTAGCCTCTAAAGCCATTCTCCTCTGATGAATCGACTTTTCTGAATAAGAGAACGAACATCAAAATTATTTTTTACTAGTTGAATCTCACTTTCAAAATTGGAGCTTTTGTGCTCAGCTCTTCCAAACACTTTGAGAAATTTGAGAACTTTTCACTGAAACTTTCATCTGCTGAAATTCCAGTTAAGACTGCAAATTTCCTTCTACTCTCAGTCACTGCCATGAATGTTTCAGAAAGTTCACTAGCCAGTTTTGGGATATCAGTTACCATTGCTTTTCTTAATTTCAGCATTTCTTCAATTTCCACATGATCCTTCGCAATTTCTCGATACAATGACTCGAATTCTTTCAAGTCTAGTGGAAAAAATCGGATATCCGATGTTCCGAAAATTAAATTCGGAAAAAATTCGGAAATCCGATTTTTCGAAAAAAAATTTCAAAAAAAAATTCGGATATCCGATTTTCCGAATAGGGTTTTCCGAGCAAGCCTGGTCCCTGGGTCCCTGGGTCCCGGGTCCTTATAATATAATTCAAAATATATAATATAATAAAAATATAATTCATTGTGATTTGAAAGATAAAAAACTGACAGTATGATTTATAATTATCGATTTTGAATATTTGTTTCAGGTGACAATTTTGGTACATGGGATCTTTCTACGCGGTTGCAGTGGACCACTCCTAATACACTGCGTCTTTATACTTTAGCCCTAATTATCTCAGTTCTTATAAAAGATACAAAAACTTTGAAAACTAATAAAATGTTGAAAATTTCATTTTGAACATTTTATTAATTAACAATTTTTTGATATCTTTCATAGGAACCGAGATAATTGAGCTTAAAATAAGAGGACTATAATTAACCTTAATTATCTTCGTTTCTATAACAGATCTCAAAAAATAGTAAAATGATAAAATGTTGGAAATTCTCTCATTTTTATATATATTTTTCGATATTTCGCAATCCTATATTTTCCTTGGTCCATCGGGTCCCCCAAGGAATACGAAAATCCTTGACGCTCTATTATCTGTTCTCTATCGGTTTCTCTTCTTCTTGGGGGGGGGGGGGGGGTCCATTTCTTTTTTTTTTGGTTCCTTCAAAGTGGTAAAAATATGGAAAAAAGAGAAGTGAAGAGATTCTTCAAAAAAAAGATGATCACTCTTCACTTTACTGAAAAAATATGCTTGTAGTTTTTAGTTGTGCATTTTTTTTTGTAAAAATGCGTTTTTTCGAATAGTTCAAAAAGTTCGAAACTTTGAAATTTTGTATGTCATTTTAAAGCTGATTTTTTGCTGATTTCAAAAATATAAATTTCACAAAAATTGACTAGAGAATAAGCGAGTTATACCCCAAACTACATTTTTGGGTCCCACCACGAAAAGTTTGAAAAGTCAGAAAATTCAAATTTTCAAACTGTGGCTTGTTCATACTCATTTTAAAGCTCTCGACTTGCTCATTTTGAATTTTAGAGATTGAAAAAAATTTGGTCAAAATAGTGCCAATTTTTGAGCCATTCAAAATCCCCCCAATTGTCTTATTTCTTCATTTTTCTCTCCCGAATATCGTTATTTTTATATTTTTATGACATGCACACCGGAAAAAAATCGGCGGAAAACAGAAAAAATAATGGGGAAAAAACCTTGACTTCTTTTTTTATTACATACATATACATTCGGGGGCTCTTTTCCTTTTATCTTTGCCATTTTTCTTTTGTTGGATACATTTATAAAAAATGGCATTTTGAAAAATTATTTAAAAATACCGATTTTTTTGAAATATCAAACGTTTATACTCATTTTGAAACTCCTTTTTTTACAAATTTCAAAAATATAGGTTTCACAATAAATGAGGGACATAGAAATGTAATTTGGCCACTTGGGTTCAAGGCAACGGGTCAGAAATCGCGCCCCAGTAAACGTGAGATTTTAGAAAAAAATTGGCTGTTGAATTATTTGGCTGATGATCAAACTTTTAAACGTTGGACAAAAAAATCACGGCTCCGCGTCACTTCGAAACCGCGACACTTCGAAACCGAAAAAAAAAACACGGTCACGTAAAAATGAAATTGAGAATTGGAATAAAAGAAAATTTTATTAAAGAAAAAAAAATTGCAGCGTGCAAAATTCACAGCTTCGAAATGACCGATTTCAAAGTGTCACGCAGTTTCGAAATGACCGGTTTCAAAGTGTCACGCAGTTTCGAAATGACCGATTTCAAAGTGTCACGTAGTTTCGAAATGACCGATTTCAAAGTGTCACGCAGTTTCGAAATGACCGGTTTCAAAGTGTCACGCAGTTTCGAAATGACCGATTTCAAAGTGTCACGTAGTTTCGAAATGACCGGCTTCAAAGTGTCACGCAGTTTCGAAATGACCGATTTCAAAGTGTCACGTAGTTTCGAAATGACCGGCTTCAAAGTGTCACGTAGTTTCGAAATGACCGGTTTCAAAGTGTCACGCAGTTTCGAAATGACCGATTTCAAAGTGTCACGTAGTTTCGAAATGACCGGCTTCAAAGTGTCACGCAGTTTCGAAATGACCGATTTCAAAGTGTCACGTAGTTTCGAAATGACCGGTTTCAAAGTGTCACGCAGTTTCGAAATGACCGATTTCAAAGTGTCACGTAGTTTCGAAATGACCGGTTTCAAAGTGTCACGCAGTTTCGAAATGACCGATTTCAAAGTGTCACGTAGTTTCGAAATGACCGGCTTCAAAGTGTCACGTAGTTTCGAAATGACGGATTTCAAAGTGTCACGTAGTTTCGAAATGACCGATTTCAAAGTGTCACGTAGTTTCGAAATGACCGGTTTCAAAGTGTCACGCAGTTTCGAAATGACCGGCTTCAAAGTGTCACGCAGTTTCGAAATGACCGATTTCAAAGTGTCACGTAGTTTCGAAATGACCGGCTTCAAAGTGTCACGTAGTTTCGAAATGACCGGTTTCAAAGTGTCACGTAGTTTCGAAATGACCGATTTCAAAGTGTCACGTAGTTTCGAAATGACCGGCTTCAAAGTGTCACGTAGTTTCGAAATGACCGGTTTCAAAGTGTCACGTAGTTTCGAAATGACCGATTTCAAAGTGTCACGTAGTTTCGAAATGACCGATTTCAAAGTGTCACGTAGTTTCGAAATGACCGGTTTCAAAGTGTCACGCAGTTTCGAAATGACCGGCTTCAAAGTGTCACGCAGTTTCGAAATGACCGATTTCAAAGTGTCACGTAGTTTCGAAATGACCGGCTTCAAAGTGTCACGTAGTTTCGAAATGACCGGCTTCAAAGTGTCCAGTGTACAAAAGTCCAGTGTACAAAAGTACAAAATTATGACGTCATCTTTTTCAAAATAGCCCCACAATTTTTTTTTACCCCTGAAACGTTTTGTTTTCGTTTATGGCTCTAACAAAAATAGACCAGAAAATTCTGATCATTGAGCGAAAAAATTTCTAGAAGAAAGCGAAAAAAACGTGTGTTTCCCCACACCCACAATTTGATTAACACGAGATTTTGGGGGGAAAAAAACTTGTCGTTACATACGAAAATTTTTCTAATGTAACCAAAAAAAAAAGTACGAATTTACAAACTGACCAGAATTTTTTTGTTCTTATTTCTCCTAAATTTGGCCATTTTTTGAATTGAAATATGCCCAAAAATATCCATCAGTTCTCTGCGAATTCCTATAAACAGGTCATTTCGAAACCAGTTCGAAACTGCGAAATTTGCACGCTGTGTTTTTTTTTTGTTTGGTTTCGAAATGACTGGTTTCGAAGTGTCACACAGATGACATCACCATTCTTCAAAAAAATAGTATTTGCCAAAAAATATTATTGCCAAAATTCGCCCAAAAATTTCCCATAAATCGGCTCCGCGTCACTTCGAAACCGCGACGTTTTGAAACCAGTCATTTCGAAACTGCGTGACACTGCGAAACCAGTTATTTCGAAACCAGTCGTTTCGAAACCGCGACACTTCAAAACCGGGCATTTCGAAACTGCATGACACTTCGAAACAGGTCATTTCGAAACAAAAAATAGGACACGCCTCTTTTTTCTCGCCAATCAATCAAAAACGAGAAGATGGCACCAATATCTATAGTGCTCATCTTTCCGAAGTTTTCCAAAAATTTTGGTTTTGGCACCGAAATGAAAAAAATCCATCATTCTGAATCTCCATTCCCCCCATTCTTCTTTGCTTTCTTTCATTTCGAAAGAATCCAACTCATAAATCATGCAGCACCCCTTCTCTTTTTCTCTGCGTCTCTCACAATTTTTTGCTCTCTCTTCTACTTTCTAGGGTTCCAAATGTCCATTATTGGAAGAGCGGAGAAATGGACCCCCAAACTGTTTCCTTCTCGGAATCTCAGAACCTCAGAATCTCAGAATCTTAGAATTCAAAAATTCAGAAATTCAGAAATTCAGAAATTCAGAAATTCAGAAATTCAGAAATTCAGAAATTCAGAAATTCAGAAATTCAGAAATTCAGAAACTCAGAAATTCAGAAATTCAGAATCTCAGAATCTTAGAATTCACAAATTCAGAAATTCAGAAATTCAGAAATGCAGAAATTCAAAATATCAAAAATTCAGAAATTCAGAAATTCAGAAATTCAGAAATTCAGAAATTCAGAAACTCAGAAATTCAGAAATTCAGAAATTCAGATTCACATTTTCTAAACATTATCTAAGTCTGAGAGACAGTACACTCACGGAGGCATTACTGTATTTTGCTGACATTTGGCTTATATGTAAATTGGAGTCCATCAGAAAGAAAAAAGAGAAATGGAGCAAAAACTGTTAGGAGAAGTCACTTATCATCCTATTGAGGCTCAAAACTCCAAAATCTGTTACACTATTCTAACATCTGTGCGTTTTCAAATTTCGGACCTCCATTTTTTTGTATACTTGCGACCGGACGTTTGCCGGGCCTTCGAAGAATCTGTCATAGTTTCTTTTAGAATCAATATTTTGAAATCAACTAAATTAGATATGATAAAACTCGACAAGTGCTACAAAATGATATAATTTAAAGAATTGTGTCTTGTCTATGAACAAAGTTACAGGCAAAAAAACAGAGACCTGGCCCGGCCACTTTATGACTTGTAACTTCGTTCATAGACAAGACACAGTACTCCAAATAGTATCATTTTGTAGAACTTGCAAAGTTCTATCATATCTAATTTAGTTGATCTTAAAATATTGTTTCTGAAAGAAACTATGGCAAGGCCCGCTCGCAAGTATGTTTTTTTCTGGGGACCTCTGAACTTTTTTGGGACCTCCAAACTAGAAAAGAGCCAAAAAATCCCCTTTCTTCCCTATTTTATTTTCGGGTCCCCCATTTTCCATTTTCCTCCGCAATCAATTCGAACGCGGACCCCTTTTATATAACGTATTCATTTTCTTTCATTGCTCCTCAGCCCCCACCAATTGTCTCTCGCCCACCCCAACGGCCACTTTCAGGGTGTCCTCTTCCACTTTTTCCCCTTTTTCGCATTTTCTTTAGAAGAAAATACGAAGAAGAAGAAGAAGAAGAGGTCCTTCTTCTTCTTCTTCTTCTTCTCATTTCTATTCCCTTGTCGTTTGCAGGAGAAGGAGATGATGAGAATGATGATGATGAAAAAAGCACTTGACGCCTTTCCTTTCGGTTTTGCTCTTTTTTTGAGAAAAAAAATTCAAAAAAAAAATTGGTTTTCCTATTTCAGAGAGTTTTCTTGAGTGATTTTTAAGTGATTTTCTGATCCTCTGACCTCTATATTTGACTGACGTAAGCTTTTTTATTAATTGTGTGTGTTTTCAAGCCTACGGTGTTTTCTAGGCTAACTAATTTAGTCAACTCTGGGTTACATGGCAAGTTTAGCGATCCTAGGCAATTCTAAGCTTGGTGGCCTAACTTTCGCAAAATATGTTTTCTAGGCCACCAACTTTTTTTTTTGGACTAAAGATGGCATAGCATGACCCTGGTGTGTTTTCTAGGTCATCTTAAAGTGGTGGCCTAACTTTTGCAAGTTTTGTTTTTTAGGCCACCAAGTTTCCCTGCCTAAAAATGGCTTTATATTCACCTGGAGGGGGTTTCTAGCAGAAATGTCCGGATTCTGGATTCCGGGTTCCGAGAAAATTTTTTATTCCGCGTTCCGGATTCCGGATTTCGTTTCTCATAAAAGTCATTCCGGACATCTCTGGTTTCTATGCCATGATGACCTAACTTTGGGTTTTCTAGGCCACCATGGTCGATGGCCTAGAAAACACACTTAAGGTAATTTCTAGGCCATAAACTCTGATGACTTAGAAAATTCGTGTTGGGAAAGTTAGGCCACCTTGGAAGAGGGTCCAGAACAGCTCCAATTTTGGAATTTCTGAATTACTACTGAAATTTTGTCGATGTTAAAGCAAATTTTTAAAAATTCTATCATTCAAATTGTCCCTTTTTTTCCAGTAAAATTCAGAATCTAGAAATGCAAATATATACATTTCTTTAGTAAAAAAAAATTACCGTAAAACCTGAAATAGAAGGGCCCCCACATACTGTCAAGTGTTGAGCTCAATTATCTCAGCTCCTAAAAGAGACATCAAAAATGTGTCAACTGATAAAATATGAAGGATATTATGATAAACAATTTATCAGTTGACAAATTTTGTGTATCTTTATCAGGAACCGAGATAAATTGGCTCAAAGTTGAAAATTAGGGGGCTCTTCTATTTCTAAACAAATCTTTTTTTAGCGCAAAAGTGCATTTGCACCGAAACCAAAAAAATTATGGGGTTGTGTATTTTTCTATTCCGCCCCCTCCGCATAAAAATATAATACTCTTTTTTTTCTCATTATTTATTCATCAGTATACATATCCTTGGATTTTTTTCCCCATTTTTTAAATTTTTGGTTCATTTTTCCTCAAAATTTAAATTTTCCGGCTCAGAATTTGTTGAAAATTTCAATTTTGAAGACTATTCTCTATTGAAAACTTGTCCTGAGGACATTTAATCATTTTTATATTTTTAGCTCATTTTGCTCAATTGGCTTATTTTTTTTGCTCATTTTTCCTCTAATTTCCACTTTTCTGGCTCAAAATTTCTAGAAAAAACTAGCCATGGGGCTGGAAATGTTCTCACTTCACACGAAAGTGATGAATGGGATGGAAGGCCGGATGCGTGAGTCGAACATGCGTATTCTGGTTGGACTGGGCGTCGCCGTTGTGTACCTTCTCGTTGGAGCCATTGTTTTTGTTAGGTATTTGATTTTTAGAATTTTAAATGTTGAAATTCGAATTCCTGAAATTTAGAGTTTCAAAATGAGTATAAACATGACTATTTTTGAGTGAAATTTTGAAAAAAATTAGTTTTTTTTTTTAATTTTCAGAAGGGCTGTGTAAATAACTCTGAAACTCTCTTTGAAAATTCAAACTATGTCAAATTTATGATCAATCAAATTGCCTTAACTAGCTGAGCTCAAAAATAAAACTTTAAAAAAATTGAACAAAAACGAAGGGAGTTATGAATGTATTTCAGAGAAATTCCAAAAACAGGAAAATTGAAATATTAATTTTTTTTTCAAAAATCAAATTTTGCTTAAATGTGTTGGTTTTATACTTATTCGAATCGTTTTCAGCTGAAAATTCTAGATTTTCCATTATAAAACGTTTTAAGGCAAAATTAACAAAGGTATGGTGATTTTGAGAAAATTTTGGAAAAAAAAATTGGCAAAAAATGTTTTGGCTCATTTTCGGATCATATTTTCAAATCTTTAAAAACTGGATTCCTTCAAAAAAACATTTCAAAATAATCCTAATTTTTGTAGTTTTAGATAAGCGCATGATATTTTCAGAATCGAATATCCATTGGAGAAAATCGAACGAGAAACGTATTTGGAGTACCAGAATCAGTGGAGGGAGAGATTGTTGCAGTTGGACATTGACGGTGAGCCAGGGGCTACAATTTTTCAAATTTATTTAAAACAATTGAGTTTGCCAATCTTTGCTGAGTCTAAAAATCAAAATTTAATGAAATTTGGTCCAAAATTAGCTGAGTTATAGGGTTTTGAAATTTCATAAATGTGAATTTCGATTTTCAGTTGAACAAGTTTTTCTAAAAATTTTAGATTGTGTGAAAACTGTTACCATTCATATTTATCTAAAAGCTCATTTTTTGTTGATTCTAAAAATATAAATTTTACAAAAATTGAGTCAAAACTAAGCGAGTTATGACCAAAAATACATTTTTGGTGTCCCACCACGAAACATTCAAAATTTCGAAATTTCAAAATAATTGAATAATAGTTTGTTTATATTCATTTTGAAGCTCTTTTTTTGGTGATTTTGAAAGTACAAAAATTTTCGAGCTTGGCTCAAAACTGACTGAGATACGGTAGTTTTACACTTTTTGGAAAAAAAATTTTTCTAGAATTTATACAGAAACAATATTTACAGCATATTTTTAGTCTTTTTTGTGTGTCCAACCCCACCAGAACCAATACTGATAAGAGTAGAGAACACATCACTGATAAGATAGCTAGTTTATTGATTTTTATACATTTTTTGTGAAAAAACATTATTTTTTACCCAAAAAATGTGCCTCTGGTGGACGTGTAGTCGTCTGGATCACAAGTACGCTCTACTGAACCGTGCGATATTTTTTGGAATTTTCTTCCAAACTTTTTTCCTAATATTTGGTGCTAGAATCATACAATGGATTGAGATTGACAACGATTTGAGGGCTCGGAGAAAGTTCCAATTCGAATTGGAACAATTTATGATTCGAAACGATGTCTCTCGTAGGTTTTTTTTTGAATTTGGCTTGGCGGGAAATTTGAAATTTTGGGAAAAATTTTACCTTTTTTTTTCAAAAGTTGAACTTTGGTATTTTACCAACTTGATATTTAAAAAAAAACAAAATGCGTCGAAGTCTCTAAATTCGCGTCAATGCACCCGAAACACGCCAAGGACCCAAAAATGGGTCAAAAGACCCATAATGCGTAAAAGCCCTAAAAATGCGTCAAGGAAACATAAGTTGCGCCAATCAAGGCGCTAGAATTGCGTCAAGACACCTAATTCGCGTCAAGACACTTAAAATGCGTCAAGGCACCTAAACTGTGTCAACGGACCAGAAATGTGCCAAGGCACAAAGCCCTAAAACTGCGCCAACTTGCACCAAAAATGCAGAGAGGGGCCTCAAATGTGTCAAGACACTAAAATTGCGTCAAGGAAACATGAGATGCGCCAAGACACAAAAAATGCGTCAACACCCCTGAATTGTGAAAATGCACCGAAAATGCGTTAGGGCACCAATAATGAGTCAAGACACCAAAAACGCACCAAGGAACCGAAATTAAGTCAAAGCACCATAAATGCGTCAAGGTAGCAGAAATGCGCCAAGACACTGAAGATTCGTCAAGACATCTGAATTTTATCAACGCACCAGAAATGTGTCAATGCACTGAAATTGTGCCGAAGCACCAGAAAGGAGCCAAGCTGCCTTAACGCAATTTGAGTACCTTGACAGTATTTGAGTCCTTGCTGCATTTTTGGTACGTTAACACATTTTTAGATACGTTGACGCATTTTTGGACCTTTGGCGCATTTTTGGTGCGTTTGCGCATGTCGGTTGTATTAGCGAGAACTAAGCGCCGTAGCACATTTCTGTTATTTTGACAGCATTTTCGATCATTTACTTGTTTCTGGTTCTCTAGCCCAGATTCAGTGCCTTGACGCAATTCTGGTGCCAGCTGGCGCAAATTAGGGCCTTGCCCCTCTTTTGGTGCGTTAATACATTTTTAGATACGTTGACGCATTTCTGGTGCTTTGACACAATTTCCGTGCCTTGACACATTTTGAGTGCTTTAAAACATTTTTAGTTCCTGGACGCTCATTTTTGGTGCCTTGGCGCAAACCAGGTGCTTTGACGCAATTCGAGTGCCTTGGCCCATTTTCAGTGCCTTGGCGCAGTTCTGTTAGTGCCTTGACACATTTCTGGTCCGTTGACACAGTTTAGGTGTCTTGACGCATTTTAAGTGTCTTGACGCGAATTAGGTGTCTTGACGCAATTCTAGCGCCTTGATACATTTCTGGGTCTTGGCGCAATTTCTGGTGCTTTGACGCATTTCAGGTTCCATGACGCATTTTCCGTGCCTTGCCACAGTTTCAGTGCGTTGACGCATTTTTGGTGCCTTGACGCATTTCGGGTGCCTTGACGCGAGTTTAGATTCCTTCACGCATTTTGAGTGCTTTGGCGCATATTATGTGTCTTGACGCAGTTTTCGTGCCTTGACGCAATTGTACTGCTTTGGCGCATTTCTCGTGCCTTGACCCGAACTTGGCTAAACCTGGTTTTAGGGAAATCTTAAAAATCCTAAAAAAACCTATTTTTCTTTTTCTTCCAGAAACCGAAATCGACAAGCTCTTCATAAATATCCGTGAAGCGGCACTGAATGGAATTTGGATGGACCGGAATTTGACAAGTGACCCAAATTGGACATTTGGACAAGCTTTCTTTTTTGCTGGGACCCTTATCAGTACTGTGGGGTACGGTAGAGTCAGCCCGAGGACCGAACATGGGAAGTTGTTCACGATACTGTATTGTGTTATTGGTAAGGTTTTGGAATATTTTTAAAAAATTTTGAAATTGTTTTTTTTCTAAAATTTTCAAAATTCCAGGAATCCCTCTAACATTGGCTCTCCTATCTGCGATTGTTGCCAGAATGCGTGAGCCGTCCCATCGGCTCCGCGGATTATTGAACCAGAGATTGGGACACCTTTTTACTGTCAATCATATTCAAGTAAGGCAATTTGTTCTTTATTTTCAGACGTAACTCTCCCAAATTTCATTTTTACAGTCTGAAATTATGATTTTTCTGTTTTTAATGTTATGAGCTTTGAAACGAGTATAAACATGATAGGTTTTGGACCATTTTGAATTTTTCGAAATTCCAGGACCCACAATTTCGAAAAAAACAAAATGATTCAAACATAGTCATGTTTATACTCATTTTGAAGCTCTAAACAAACCAAATTCAAATCCGCAAATATATTTGAATTTTGGCAAAAACTGGCTGAGTTACGGTAGTTTTACATTTTTGGGTCTCATCACGAAAATCCTAAAAATCTTTAAATTTCAAATCTAGTCGTGTTTATACTCATTTTGAAGCTTGAAAACTGCCAAATCTGGAAAAACAAAAAATTTCGAGTTCGGTTGAAAACTGACTGAGATACGGTAGTTTTAGTAATTCGTGGTAGAACCCAAAAAAATTTTTTTTTCAAACCTGGGCATGTTTATACTCATTTTAAAGCTCTTTAAATTATAATTTCAAAAATTTTCAAAATTTCAAATTTGACTTAAAACTGGCTGAGATACGGTAGTTTTAGTAATTCGTGGTAGGACCCAAAAAAAAATTTTTTTCAAACCTGGGCATGTTTATACTCATTTTAAAGCTCTTTAAATTATAATTTCAAAAATTTTTTAAATTTCAAATTTGACTGGCTGAGATACGGTAGTTTGTGATTTTTCTCAAAAAAAATTGTCAGAAGTATGGCTTGTTTATCCTCATTTTGAAGCTCTCAATCTGTAAAATTCAATTTTAGAGCCAAAAATTCCATTTTCAGCTAATCCACGTGGGCGTCGTCCTTGCTGCTCTTCTCATTTTCGTCTTCGCAATTCCAGCATGGATTTTCTCATCGATAGAAACCGAATGGACGTATTTGGACGCATTTTACTACTGTTTTGTGTCTCTAACTACCATAGGATTAGGAGATTTCGAACCGGGAGACGACCCAAATCAATCGTTCCGTGGATTATACAAAATTGGAGCTACAGTATACCTGATGGGCGGTTTGTGTTGTATGATGTTGTTCTTGGCGACGCTTTATGATATTCCACAGTTCAATTTGACTGCGTTCTTTGTCAAAAATGATGAGGAGATGAGATTCAATGAGGTGAGTCTAGAAATCCAAAAATCCAGAAATTATGTAACCTCTGGGTCCCTGGGTGCCTGGATCCCTGGATCACTGGGTCCCTGGATCCCTGGATTCCTGGATCCCTGGGTCCCTGGATCCCTGGATTCCTGGATCCCTGGGTGCCTGGATCCCTGGATCACTGGGTCCCTGGATCCCTGGATTCCTGGATCCCTGGGTCCCTAGATCCCTGGATTCCTGGATCCCTGGGTGCCTGGATCCCTGGATCACTGGGTCCCTGGATCCCTGGATTCCTGAATCCCTGGGTGCCTGGATCCCTGGATCACTGGGTCCCTGGATCCCTGGATCCCTGGATCCCTGGAACCCGTGGATCCCTGGATCCCTGGGTCTCTGGGTCCTCGAGTCCAGATATTCGGAAATTCTCAAATTCAATTTTTCAGGACGAAGGAAAATATGGAACACTGGATTCCAATACTGTGGAAAATGGCTACTATGCTCAACAATAGGCTTCAAATTTTAAAAAAACCTGCAATAAAAGGGCATGCCGCACACTGTCAAGTGTTGAGCTCAATTATCTCAGCTCCTGTGAGAGATATAAAAAATGTGTCGACTGATAAAATGTATAGGATATTATGATAAACAGTTTATCAGTTGACTACTTTTTCATATCTTCATCAGGAACCGAGATGGGGGCGCTTTTATTGCAGGTTTTACGGTATATATATATATATATATATATATATATATATAATTTTTAATTTTGTGATTTTTTAATTTATTTGTGGATCTCAAAACAATTCTTCTTGGCAATAATAAATTTTTGATTTTTTTTTTCCTTTTTTTTTGGAAATTTCAGATTTTTTAATTGTTCAAAAATTCAAATTTTGGGTCATTTTTTTTAAATAATCGTGAACTTTAATAAATATTAATTAAAATAAAAATTTATAAAACAAAAAAAAATCAGGCGTCCAGCTGGAGCATCGTGGCCCACAATTCAAATTTTTAAAAAAATTTAAATTTGGCGCCAAAATCCAAATATTCAAATTCGGAACCTGAATACAGTACTCCTAACAATACTATGGAGTTTGGTGGCGGACTGGGGAGGTAGACCATTTTTTTTAATAATTTTTTTTTAATTTCCGAGGGAATTCAAAATTTTTGAACAACAAAAATTTTTGTTTGAAATTTTTTTCTGAAATTTCAGATTTTCGATATCCCCTCCAATTAAAAATAAATGTCGAGAAATTGTGGAAGTCCCAGGGGGTCCCGAGTGGAAGATTCGGAAATTACGAGAGGAATTTGATGAATTTTGTTGGAAATATCCGGGTAGCTCGGTGATTGTCTACTATCATCTAAAAAGGTTGCAGGTGAGGAAACTATCTGAGACCAGAAAAGTGTAAAACTACCGTAACTCGGATATTTTTTGACCAAATCGAAAAATTTTTGAAGTTCTGAGTTTGAATTGTTTAGAGCTTAAAAATGAGTATAAACATGACCTAGCTTTGAAAAAGTCGATTTTTTGAATTTTTGAAAAAAAAATTTTCGCGGTGAGACCGTAAAAATGTTAAACTACCGTAACTCGGCTATTTTTTGACGAAGTCGAAAATTTGTTGCGAATTCGAATTTAGCTTGTTGAGAGCTTCAAAATGAGCCTAAACATGACTAGGCTCCGCCCTTTTTGAATTTTGACACTTTTCGCCTTTAAAGGCGCATAGGGGCCCGAAAAATGAAAATCGGAGAAAGTAAGCCATGATTATACTCATTTAAATGCACTTAAAATTTTGCTTTCAAAAATATAACAATTTTTGATTTTAGACAAAAATTGACCGAGATACGGTAGATTGTATTATTTTGAAAAAAAGTTTGACTTTAAAGGCGCATAGGGGCCCGAAAAATGAAAATCGGAGAAAGTAGGTCATGATTATACTCATTTTGAAGCTTTAAAGAAATCAAAGTAAGTATTTCAAAAATTTCTCGGTTGGCACGAAAAATAGCCGAGTTACGGTAGTTTTACACTTTCAGGGTCCCACCACGAAAAGTCCATAAATTCTTAAAAGTCGATATTTCAAACATAGACGTGTTTATACTTATTTTAAAGCTCTTCAAACTCTAATTTTAAAAATATTAAAGTTGTTGGATTTGGACAAAAATTGACCGAGATACGGTAGATTTTGTACTTTTCGGAAAAATTCCGAAAAAAAACATTTTTTGAAGTATGGCTTGTTTATACTCGTTTTAAAGCTCTCAACTTCCGAAATTCAAATTTTCGCCTAATTTCAAGAATTTCCAGACGTGCATCACTCCAGAAGACGAAAGCCAGAAGCTCTTCTATGCGAAAGTTTCCCATTTCATGTCTCCCGTTGAAATTGCCCTCCAACCCAAATATTTAAGTTCGGCCAGAAAATCGATAATGGATCAGTTGAATGTGACGTATAATTTTGAGAAAACGGTCCCAAATTTTTTCGAGGACCATCAGATTTTTGTGTCCGTCGCTTGTGCTGTACAGGAATTGGGAATTTGGTATCGAGGGAAAATTGCTCAGATTTCGGGAGAAGAGCAGTGGGTTTTAATTGATAATTGATAATTGATAATTGATAATTGATAATTTGATTCTTCAGTGTTGTCGTTGAATTGGTAGATTTCGGAACCCAAATTCTCGTGCCACGTCATCACATCCGTCCCCTAATTCGCCGGTTCGGCCGGGCTCCGCCCCTTTGTCTGAAATGTCGAGCCGATGGAATAACGATCAATGATTTGGAAATTAAGGATCTTCATGACTTCAAAAATATCATTTTGGATTGTAATGCACTTTTTCGAGTGGAAATCAAGTCGCTGGAAGAGCCCTTCTTGGTAAATTTTTTTCCCGAAATTCAGAAATTCAGAAACTACCGTAACTCGACTACTTATTGCCCAAAGTGAAATTGTTTTTCAGATTTGAATACAGCTTGTTTGAAGCTTTAAAATGAGTATAATCATGGCCTACTTTCTCCGATTTTCATTTTTCGAACCCCCCTATGCGCCTTTAAAGTCAAAAAGTTTCAAAATTCAAAATGGACGGAGCCCAGTCGTGTTGATACTCATTTTGAAGCTCTAAACAAGTTAAATTCAAATCCGCCACAATTTTTCGATTTGGCCGAAAAATAACCGAGTTACGGTAGTTTTACACTTTTAGGGTCTCACCGCGAAAATTTGCAAAAATTCAAAAAATCGACTTTTTCAAAACTAGGTCATGTTTATACTCATTTTAAAGCTCTAATTAATTCAAATCAAGATTTCCTACTCATTTTCCATAAAAATCCCCGATTACCTGTGCCCAAACCAAAGTGCATCCTAGGCTTATGTGGTGAGTTATACGGTGTCGAGACATGGACCATGAAAAATGCCAAAATCGAAAATACCGTACCCAAGATCATAGCGACGGCTTATCTGAGTTAAGAGTAGAGCCACTGGGAAAAAGTTTTGACAAAACATTTTAATTCAAAAATTCAGAAATTCAGAAATTCTGAAAATCAAAAATTCCAGATCGATTTGTACCATCCAACCATTTCCGGATTCAACGTGTGTCAGAAATTTTTTCCATTACCTGAGACGATGGGAAGTTGGACAGAATTGCTAGAAGTTGGAATGCTCATTGCAAGAAAATGGTATACTGTAAACACTCTAATCATACTTGCGACCGGGCCTTGCCATAGTTTCTTTCAGAAACAATATTTTAAGATCAACTAAATTAGATATGATAGAACTTTGCAAGTTCTACAAAATGATACTATTTGGAGTACTGTGTCTTGTCTATGAACAAAGTTACAAGTCATCAAGTGGCCGGCCCTTGCCGCGTCGGCCCGGGCCGGGCCGAGTCTCTGTTTTTTGCCTGTAACTTTGTTCATAAACAAGGCACAATTCTTTAAATTATATCATATTGTAGCACTCGTCAAGTTCAATCATATCTAGTTTGGTTGATCTTAAAAAATTGATTCTAAGAGAAACTATGAGAGATTCTGCGAAGACCCGGCAAAGGCCCGGTCGCAAGTATGACTCTAATAGAACGCCACCTGAATCGTCGAATTTGAGCCCATGTATCTCATTTTCTGTGAGAGATTGCAAAAAGTGGTCAACTGATAAAATGTTGCTGATATCATGATAAACATTTTATCAGTTAATCACTTTTTGATATCTTTTACAGTAACCGCGATATATAAACTCAAAGTGGACGGTCCGGGTAGCGTTCTATTAGAGTTAAAACAATTTTACAATTTTTTTATGCAAAGCTTTTTTTCTCCAGAATGAAGTATTCCACGAAGACGACGAGGATTTCAAAGAGGAGCATGGTGATGGTGACTATTTCCCATCGTTCCATCCAACTACAGTAATCCCGGACCACCAAACAATTGTTCAAAAATCCCAAAAATTCATTTCCCGTCTTCCAAAATGCGCCAGAGCTCCGAGATTCGAGCAGGACACATTGCTCATTGACCACATTGAAAATGCTCAATTAGTCTATCTACAGTACCCCTGGCAGGTCTCAAAACGATCCAAAATTGATGATTTTCTGAGAGCCACGTGGCAAAATTTGCCAAAAATTCCGGAAAAATTCCGCCAAAAAGATCAAATTTGTGCGATTCGAAATCCGCGAATCGATTTTGTTGTCGGGCAGTGATTGTTGATAAGACTACTGTACTTTTAGTGGATTACGGTAGATTTGTGAAATGTCACGAACATGCGGACTTGAGATTGATACCAGCTGAGGAGGCATTGATGGTGGAGGAGCCTATGGTAAGAAAGGGGCAGTGGGTTACTGTAGATTCAGAATTTTTTGTTGGGAGGTTGATTTTCAAATTTGGCGTAAACAGAGCTTCAAAATGAATATAAACATGATAGGAATCGGAAAAATTGAAATTTGAGAAAAAATAAAAATTACAAAAATTTTTTTTTGGAATTTTTTCAAAAAAAGTTTTTAAAGTTTTGTCAAACCAGGTCATGTTTATACTCATTTTGAAGCTAAAATTTTGCTGATTTCGAAAATCTACAAAGTTCCAAATTTGACCGGAAAAGAACCCATTTACGAAGTTTTGAAATATTGAAAAATTCGAAAAAAATTTTTTTTTCGAATTTTTGAAAATTTTCAACAAAAAAATGTTTCAACCCTGGTCATGTTTATACTCATTTTGAAGCTGAAATTTTGCTCAATTTGAAAATATGAAAAATTTCGAATTTGACCAAAAAAGAACCCATTTACGGAGTTTTGAAATTTTGAACAATTCGAAAAAAATATTTTTTCGAACCCTAACGTGTTCATACTCATTTTGAAGCCGTTTCTCAACAAAATTCAAATTTTCAAACAATTTTCAGATTACTGTAGTCTCCCTCACCCGAGCCTCCAATAACTTGTGCCCCCATCACTCGGAGACCCAATTTTTACGGCAAAAATTGCCACGTGGCACTTCTGTACATTTCAAATGGGACAAGAAATCGAAAACGACACCGATGAAGGGCAGATTATTGATTGATGGGTGTCGAGAGGCAATTAACGAGCAGATGGTCAATTAGTGAGTAATTGAATGCGGTAATTCAGAAATTCGAAATTCAGAAATTCGAAATTCAGAAATTCACAAATTCAGAAATTAAGAAATTCAGAAATTCAGAAATTCAGAAATTCAGAAACTCGGAAATTCAGAAATTTAGAAATTCAGAAATTCAGAAATTCAGAAATTCAGAAACTCGGAAATTCAGAAATTCAGAAACTCGGAAATTCAGAAATTTAGAAATTCAGAAATTCAGAAATTCAGAAATTCAGAAATTCAGAAATTCAGAAATTCAAAAATTCAGAAATTCAGAAATTCAGAAATTCAGAAATTCAGAAATTCAGAAATTCAGAAATTCAGAAATTCAGAAATTCAGAAACTCGGAAATTCAGAAATTCAGAAATTCAGAAATTCAGAAATTCAGAAATTCAGAAATTCAGAAATTCAGAAATTCACAAATTCAGAAATTCAGAAATTCAGAAATTCAGAAATTCAGAAATTCAGAAATTCAGAAATTCAGAAATTCAGAAATTCAGAAATTCAGAAATTCAGAAATTCAGAAATTCAGAAATTCAGAAATTCTAAGATTCTGATATTCTGAAAATGCGAAAATTCAAAAAATCAAGAATTTGAAATTTTGAAAAATCAATTTTTCTCAAATTTTCAGCCTAAAACATCTGAAAATCGACCCCTACTGCCGCCAATTGGACATTTATCGTCAATATAAAAATCACGAATTGCCACGTGGAAATCACATTTATCATGCCACGTGTCACCCACATTACTCGAGAGGACAGGAGGAGTTTTTATGGATTTAGAAGAAAAGAAAATTCCCAAAAAAAAACAATTTTATGAAGAAAAATGAGAAGAGAAACTGGAAACTGTAATTCTTGTGTGATCTAAAATAATGTGTGCTTTTGCATTGTTTTTGTTTTAATTGAATTAATGATTTTTTTTTAATTTTTTCGATTTTTGAATTTTTCGGAAAAAATTTTTTTTAAATTTTTTTCAAAAATATTTTTTTCAATTATTTCATATCTAGATGTAAAATTAGATTTCCAATCGATTGCACTTAAAATCAAAGCTCTAGGAGCAAAACTAAGCAAGTTATGACCTCTTTTACAAGGTCACTTGACATTTTTTGGGTGCTTATTTTTCTCCCCGGGTACATCCAAGGTACATACAATTTGTCATTCTTATCTTATCATATTTATCAGATGTTCTTGAACAATTTTTCAGTCTCTTCTTCTAATTTTGATTTTGCTATCATCATTAAATTTTAATACGATTAGTTTGTAAAAAAAAAATTTCCATGAAAATTTTTATTTTGGAAATTCGAATTTTTTCACTTATTTCTACTTTTGAAAAATTAAATTTTATAAAAAAAATTCAGAAAGAAACACTCCTTGTTCAATTTTAACAATTAAATTTTTTTTTGAAAAATTCTAAATTTTCGAAAAAAAACTTTTTTCCCGAAATTTTGGTTCAAAAACAGGTTAAAGATTATTTTTTGAAGATTATGCTAATTTTGTACTCTACCCAATGACCACCCGGTACTGTATAAATTAGGTTTTGCATCTCTCGGTGCAAAAAAAAAATTTTTTGAAAAATTTTTTCCAAAATTTCAACTTTGGCCCAGACTTCTTGATTTTTTTATATTTTTCGAATTTTTTTTTGAATTTCAACTTTTTTCAGTCTTAAATTTTCAGAAAAAAATAGTCATGAAACAACGAAATTTTGAATTTTTGTGCGCCGCAATGTTGGGATTCGGTCAATTATGCGTTTGGGTCGGTTACGATTCAGAATCGTTCATTTTGGAATCTGTTATTTATTCACTACATGAGAAAAATTCAGATATTGATGAGCACGCAGGATATTATGGGTTAGTTTTCGCATTTTGCGTCAATGCACCAAAAATGCGTCAAGGCACTAGAAAAGCGTTAAGGCACTAGAAATGCGTCAAGGCACCAGAAAAGCGTCAAGGTATCCAAAATGCGTCAAGGCACTAGAAAAGCGTCAAGGCGCCTAAAGTGCCTAATGGCACCAGAAAAGCGTCAAGGTATCCAAAATGCGTCAAGGCACTAGAAAAGCGTCAAGGCACTAGAAAAAAAGAAATACGCCAGGTCCGTGACCCACTTTCGGTGTCTTAGCGCTTTTTTGGCGCATTGGCGCGTTTTTCGTGCCTTGACGCGATTTTGGTGTCTTGACCCATTTTCGAGGCCTTGGCGTATTCTTGGTGTCTTGGCGCATTTAAAGTGCCTTGACACAATTTCAGTGCTTTTGCGCATTCTTAGTGCCTTGGCGCATTTCCAGTGTTTTGGCGCATGTCTAGTGCCTTGACCCATTTTTTTTGTGCCTCGACGTATTTTGAGTTGTCTTGGTACATTTTTTGATCTTTGACGCATTTTTTACCCTCGTTGAATATATAGTGTCTTGACGCGTTCTTGGCGCAATTTTCGTGCCTTGACGCATTTCCGGTACCTTGACACATTTCTAGTGCCTTGGCGCACTTCTAGTGCCCTGACGCATTTTTCGTGCCTTGGCGCATTTTTCGTGCCTTGGCGCATTTTCAGTGCATATTATTGCAGACAAGCCGTAATATTTGCTGCCTTCATGTTCACATGTATATTTGCTCCATCAATTCTAAACATTACAACTCCAAAAGCTCTTCTAGTATTCTCTGCAATTTCCTATACAATGTTTCCGATGGGATTCCTATTTTTTAATATCTATTTTTATTATTTCACAGCAGTTTTACTTGGTATTGGAATCGCATGTGAGTTTTGAGATTTTTTTTGGAATCAAAAATTTTTTTTTAATTTTTTCAAAAATCTAATTTTTACAGTACTTTTCATGGGAATGGGTGCATATTTATCCCAACACTCGACTAGAGAGACCATTGAATCGAATGTATCCATTTCTTGGGCAATTGCGTGTTGTTGGTGAGTGTTTGCGCAATTTTCGTACCTTTGCGCGTTTTCGCGGAGACTCACTTTAGTTCAGCAAGTCATTTGAGACACAATTTTTGTCGAAATTTAAAACTTCTAGAGCTTTTAGGGCACTTGGCGCATTTCTCGTGCCTTGCGCGTTTTTGGAGACTTGGTGGAAAATTGGAATAAGTCATGAAACATGAAATTAACGTCGGGTTTCGAAGTGTTCAGCTCTTTTTGGGATATTCCGTGTCTTGGCGCATTTTTGGTGCCTTGGCGTATTTTCAGTACCCTTGACACATTTCTTGTGCCCTGACACATTTCTTGTGCCCTGACGCACTTCTAGTGACTTGCTTCTTTTTTAGTTCTCTTGACGCATTTCTCGAGCTTTGACATACTTTAATTCTTTGACGCATTTCTCGTGCTTTGCAGCGTTTCCTGTGCGTTGACGGATTTCTAGTTAGCTGCCACTGTTCCGGTGCCATGGTGTGTCTTCGGTGCCTTGATAGATTCCTATGCGCATTCCTTGTGCCTTAAGGCATTTCGAGTTCCTTGACGCATTTCGAGTTCCTTGACGTAGTTCTAGTGCCTGGATGAACTTTTGGTGTGCTTCACACACTTTCGGTGCCTTGACGCATTTCGTGCGGCCTGGCTCATTTCTGGTGTTTTAGCACATTCTCTGTGCCTTCGCGCATTTCTAGAGCCTTAACGCATTTTTGGTGCCTTGGCGTTATTTTGGTTCCTTGGTGCATTTCTAGCGCTATTGACGCATTTTTGGTGCCTTGACGTATTTCTAGTGCATTGACGCATTTACCGAGCTCCTGACGCATTTTTAGTTAAACAGCTCATTTTTTGTGCCTTGGCGCATTTCTCACGCCTTAACACATTTTTGGTGTCTTGACGCATTTCCGGTGCCTTGGCGCGTTTCTCGTGCCTTGACACAATTTCGGTGCAATTTTTTCAGCCTAATGGTCAGTGCGTGCATCTTCACTGGCTACACCACCTTCAGTCCACACCCGAAACAAGACGACTTGAGTCAGAAAAGATATAGTGAGAGGGAAATGTGAGTTTCCAAAAAACAAATAATAAATTTTAGAAAATAAAAAAAAATATTTTTTGAAATTTTTTTAAATTTCAAAACTTCAGAAGAATCCTATTTGGGATATATACAGGAATTTCTTCTATAGCAATTGTACTTTTTGGGGTAATGCCATCAAAAAATGTGGAAAATTCGCTGGCAGAATCGGAGAAGAAAATGGGATTTATGGATTCTTTAAGTGAGTAGTTGAAGTCTAAAATTCAAATTTTTTGGCGGGAAAAATTCAAAAAAAAATTTTTCAATTAAAATTTCCAGAACTAACATGTTCTACAATCAAATCTCCAAAATTGTTCCCACTTTTGCCATTAACTATCCTTGGCGGATTTAATGTCTCATTTTGGTTATCGATTTTTCCAACGGCTATGAATTTCACAAAGGCTAATTCGAATTTGATTTATATCCAGGCGGTTTTTGGACTTGGTGCAGGTCTAGGAGAAGTTTTTAGTAAGTTTTAAAAATTTGAAAAAAAATTTTGAAAAAAAATTTTTTTGTTGTGAATCTTTTTTTTTCAGCTGGATCTTTTGTGTCAGCAATGTCTAAAAGAGTCAAAGGATTCGGACTAAAACCAACTATGTTAATTGGCACAATTAGTGTGATTATCTATTGCTCATTGGTTTTTATTTCAACACCGTTTGAAGCGCCCATGAGGCCAACCAGTGAGAAATCGATTTGGATTGGGCAGAGGTGGGACGGAAAATTGAAGAATTAAGAAATTTCGAAAAATTTTAGAAAATCGAGTTTACATTCATTTTGTTAAGCTGAAATTCGTTATTCTGGAAATATATGAATTTTGGAGTTTGGACAAAAATGAGCCAATTTGCACTAAAACATAAAATTGTTCATTTTTTAAAATTTTAGTATTTTTGCAAGTTTTTCAAATTATCATATTCTGGCTCAAAACTTTCCAAATTCTTCAAAACTACAGATTTTTAATTTTTTATTCATTTTTAGAGTTTCAGGACTCCGGAATCCGGACCCGGGTATCCGGATTCCGGACCTAGAAACCCGGATTCCTTCTCCGGTCCCCTCTCGGGAGCCTCGAGAAGGGAGAATTGATTGTTCCTTCTACTTTTTCTCTTCCTTTATAGTAATATTTTCCCTGAGGTCATATTGGGTCTTTGGTTTCTAATTTAATCCACGCAGTTCTTTTTGTCTAGAATTTAATTTTTCTCAGAATTTATTTTTCATATATTTCTTTTTCATCACGTTCAAATCTCATTTGAATTTTAATTTTTGGAATCTGTGAAACTACTGTGCCACGGCCGGCTTCGGTTTCAGAAAAAATCGTCTTATGTAGGCTTAAAACTGTCCAAATTCTATAAAAACTATATTTCCAGAATCCACATGAATTTTTCTGTAATTCTGTTTTTTATTCATTATAATAAAACTTTCAAATTTGAACAAAAATGAACCAAAATATGACTATTTTACAAAATTAGTACAATTTTCTGTAAAATTGTCATATCTCGGTTTAAAATTGTCAGAAATCAGAAAATCAGAGATTTCCAGAATCATCATAAATCATTCCCTAATATTTTCAGCTATCCCTTAATCTTCCTAATTGCCATATTCTGTGGAATCAGTGATTGTTGTATAAACGGAGTGAGGAGTGTGATATGTGCACTAGTCCTGCCCCAGCGACGTGCCCAATCGTTTGCAGTGACCCGAATGTATCATGCGGCCGCCTGTATGACATGTTTCTTCTTCTCACCAATTGTACCATTATACACTTATACTTGTCTACTTCCAATTCTCTCCATTTTCTCCACTTTTTTATTTTTTCGAGTTGTTGATAAGACGCATTCGATGGAAAGGAAAATCACCCAACAAGTGATGGAGGAGGAGAAAATTGAAAACTTGAAAAATCAGAATATTGTTACTGTTGTTTAATTATTTTTGCAATAAATCGATTTTTTGAGTTTTTCAAAAAAAAAATTTTGTTTAATTTTTCGAAAAAAAATTTTTTTTTCGAAAATTTCAAAACACCGTAACTCAAACAGTTTTGGAGCAAACCAAAATATTTTGACAAATTTGAATTTGTCTAGTCAAGAGCTTTAAAATGAGCCTAAACACGATTAGGCCCCGCCCATTTTGAATTTTGAAATTTATTGCCTTTAAAGGCGCATAGGGGGCCCGAAAAATGAAATTCACGGAAAGTATGTCATGATTTTCCTCGTTTTGAAGCTTTTTTCGAGCTGATTTAAAAATGAGTTTAGTTTTTCTGAATTCTTGAGATTCTAGCCAAGAAAAACAATTTTTAATTTTTCAAAAAAAAATTTCTCAAAATTTTTTCTTTCAAAATTTCAAAATACCGTAACTCAAACAGTTTTGGAGCAAACCTATTTATTTTTAAAAATATGTATTTGCCTTGTCTAGAGTTTCAAAATGAGCCTAAACACGTCTAGGCTCCGCCCATTTTGACTTTTTGACTTTAAAGGCGCATAGGGGACCCCGAAAATTGAAATTCATGGAAAGTAGGTCATGATTATACCCGTTTTGAAGCCCTTTTTAAGCTGATGTTAAAAATGTGTATAGTTTTTTTGAATTCTTGAGATTCTAGCCAAGAAAAGCAATTTTTAATTTTTCAAAAAAAAAATTCAAAATTTCAAAATACCGTAACTCGAACAATTTTGGTGCAAACTAATTTATTTTAATAAATCTGAACTTGCCTTGTCGAGTGCTTCAAAATGAGCCTAAACACGACTAGGCTCCGCCCATTTTGAACTTTGGCACTTTATTACTTTAAAGGCGCATAGGGGACCCCGAAAAATGAAATTCATGGAAAGTAGGTCATGATTATACTCGTTTTGAAGCTCGTTTTGAGCTGATTTTGAAAATATGTATAGTTTTTCTGAATTCTTAAGATGATTTTAGCCAAGAAAAGCAATTTTTAATTTTTCAAAAAAAAATTTTTTCATAATTTCTTCATTGATTTATTCAATCAATAAAAATCAGTAATTGGAAAATGATATTTTAATTTTTTATAAATAAAATAAAATATAAATACAACCTTTCACATAAACCGAGATCCTCTCCAAATAAATTCAAATTCAAGGGTAATTAATTTAGGGGTAATTAAGAATAATAGTTAATTAGTCAATTAGCGGTTTATAGTCTCCGAATTCTCGTCTCTCGAATTTCAGCTCATTTCCAAACAGTGGACGAATTATCAGCTCGGCGGCCACTCTCATTTGATCCGTTCTCAATTTTGCCTTGACTTTCAGATTTTTCAGCAAAATCGCCAAAATGCACTTCTCCTCCATCATCGCGAATCTCATCCCTGGAAAATTTGAGGTTTTTGGGGAAAAAAATCATTTTTGCCCAACCCTTGCCCAACCCTTGCCCAACCCGTGCCCAACCCTTGTCCAACCCTTGTCCAACCTTTGTCCCACCCTTGCCCATGTTTCTAGATGTCCAAACAGTTGAATATCAAAAGCGGGATGAAAATTCAGGTTATTTGGGGAAAAATCATTTTTGCCCAACCCTTGCCCAACCCTTGCCCAACCTTTGTCCCACCCTTGCCCAACCTTTGTCCCACCCTTGCCCATGTTTCTAGATGTCCCAACCAGTTGAATATCAAAAGCGGGATGAAAATTCAGGTTATTTGGTGAAGAATCATTTTTGCCCAACCCTTGCCCAACGCTTGCCCATGGTCCAAATTTGGCCAACATGGTCATGTGGGTCTCAAAAAGCAGGAAATCTTTGAAAAGTGCGTTTTTGAAGTAAAAATTTGAGAGATTCTTGATGATAGTTGGTTTTGCCCATCTCTTGCCCATCTCTTGCCCATCGTCTGCCTATTTCTTGCCCAAAAACTCAATTTTTAAGGTTCTAGGTGGCTATTTAATAAAATTATCCAGTCCAACAAAAACAAGAATTCGGAGAGCGAAAAATCAAACTTCGGCAATTTTGAATTTTTGCCCATCTCTTGCCCATCTCTTGCCCAATGTTCAATTTTCACCAAAAATTGGGTACGATTAGTATAAAACTGCTCAGAATAACTTGAAACGCGATTTTTCACATTTTTGGTTTCTGCGAATCTCTTGCCCATCCCTTGCCCATTATCGAAACTTTATCGAACCTGGGCAAAATGGGTATCAACCGTTTTCAAATTTTCTGGAGACTCCATTTTTAAACTGAAAATGTTCTTTTTGCCCTTTGTTGCCCTCTCCTTGCCCACCCCTTGTCCATTCCTTGCCCAATCACTCACCAATACAATTTCTGCTGCCAGCACTGAATGGAATATAGGCATACGGATGTTTCAGCTCTCCACTGATGAATCGTTCCGGATTGAAAATCTCCGGGTCTTCCCAATAGCGGGGATCCTTGTGTACCATGGATGGTACCATGACCACAGCAGTGCCCGATGGAAGGGTGTGTCCTCTGATCTGGATATCCTCAACACACTGTCTGGCAATTAAAGGGACAGAGGGGTACAGGCGAAGGGTTTCTTTGAAACAGGCTTCTAGATATTTCAATTTTCCCAAGTCTTCATAAGAAATCGGGCGGTCCGCTTCTCCTAGAACCTCATCAATTTCTTTTTGGACTTTTGATTGGATCTCTGGATTTGCACCCATCAGGTGGAGGAACCAGTTCATGGCAGCGGAGGTCGTGTCGTGGCCTGTAACTTTTTAGGTTTTCGAGCTGTCTAGAAATGTTGAAGCCTAGCAGTTTTAAAATAAATTTTGATGTTTTTGTTTTTCAAAATACCGTAACTCGAAAAATTTTTAGCGCAAACTAAAATATTTTAAGAAATCTGAATTTCTATTGTTGAGAGCTTCAAAATGAGCCTAAACACGACTAGGCTCCGCCCATTTTGAATTTTGACACTTTTTGGTTTTAAAGGCGCATAGGGGGCACGAAAAATGAAATTTATGGAAAGTAAGTCATGATTATACTCATTTTAAAGCATTGTTGAAACTGGCTTCAAAAATGTGTACAGTTTTCTGAACTTTGTGATTTTAGCCAAGAAATGAATTTTTTAAAATTTCAAAAAAAAATACTTTTTTCATATTTTTTTCGAACTATCGTAACTCAAACAGTTTCCCAACTAAACTGTACTCGTCTTGTTGAGAGCTTCAAAATGAGCCTAAACACGACTAGGCTCCGCCCATTTTGAATTTTGACACTTTTTGACTTTAAAGGCGCATTTGGGGGTCCGAAAAATGAAATTCATGGAAAGTAGGGCATGATTATACTAGTTTCAAAGCTCTTTTCATGCTAATTTTGAAAATATAAAAACTACAAAAATTGGACAACAATTGACCGAGTTACTAGTGCTTTGCCATGGGGACAATAGAGAATCCGAAAAAAAATCGAAATTTCATAAAGTTAAAAATTTTGGGATTTTAGCGAATTTACAATTATTTTGAAGCCCTCTTCACGCTAATTCTAAACTATCAAAATTTCTGAAATTGGGCAAAAATGGGCCGAGTTACAAGCGTTTTTCTAGGTGCTCTATTTTGAGGATAAAATGAGTATATTTCAGAAAAATGGCGATAACTTGCTTAGTTTTTAAGATAGAGTCTTGATTTTTGTCTCAATCGATTGGAAATGAAATTTGACATCTGTAAATAGCAATTTCAATTACATTTCGCTAGTTTGATATAGGTAAATTTTGGCTCAAAATGATTTTTTTTCTCAATTTTTCAATTTTTTACCTTCAAAAGTAAAAGTGTCGACTTCTTCGCAGATGCCTTCCATTGGAAGTTCTCCTTTTGAGTTCATATCCAACATCAAATCCAAAAATGCCATTCTTCTCCGTCCTTCGGCCGTTTCCTGGGCCAAAAGTTGTTCAACACCACCGGCTGCGTCCACTTTAGCCTTACGAGCGTAGATGGCCTTTGATGTGAAGTCGTGGAGGATCTGAAAATCGAAAGTTGGCTGGAAATGGGATTAGGCTATGTGATTTTCTGATAAAAAATTGAGACAAATCCGCCTAGGATAGTTGATTTTGGATTTCTGAATTTCTGATTTTTTTTTCGAAAATCTTGAAATTTTCAGATTTTCCGAACATTTCGAGTTTCCGGATTTTTTTTTGAATTTTGAAATTTTTTAGATTTCTTGAGTTTTAGATTTCATGATTTTAGGACCATTTTTCATGATTTTTGGACCATTTTTCATGATTTTTGGACCATTTTCATGATTTTTTGACCATTTTTCATGATTTTTGAACCATTTTTCATGATTTTTGGGCTATTTTTCATGATTTTTGAGCCATTTTTCATGATTTTTGGGCTATTTTTCATGATTTTTGGGCTATTTTTCATGATTTTTGAACCATTTTCATAATTTTTGAGTCATTTTTCATGATTTTTGGACCATTTTTCATGATTTTTGGGCTATTTTTTATGATTTGTGGACCATTTTCATGATTTGTGGACCATTTTTCATGATTTTTGGACTATATATATATGTTAATTTTTTCGAAAAGTTTGAAATTTTAAAAAACTGAAAATTCTAATTTTTTGAATTATTTTTTCCTGCATTTTTCGAAAAATCGAAAGTTTCTAGAATTTCAAATAGTTGAAAATTCGAAATTCCGGAAACTGAAATTTTAATGTTTTTCTAAATTTTCCATTCTCACCTTAACACACTGATCATGTTCCTCGCCTCTACCAATCCATTTGAAAATGGTATCCGAGAAGAAATGTGGTCTCAAGAGTCTCTGGAATACAATATCCTTCATTTTGAAAACCGCATCCAAATATGGCGAATTCGGGTCTTTTTGAGCATTTATCGATGTTCCAAGTGCTGCTTCACAGATGACGTCAAGGGTGCAAAGGGTGATTGTATGGAAGACGTCTTCATAATTTCCAGATTCCGCTTGATTTTCAAATTTCGAAAGGAGCGTTTTTCCGTGACGATTGTAGACTTCTACGAAATCTTTCAGAATGTCATAGTGGAACGTTGGAGTTAACAGCTTTCTACGGGGACGCCATTTGTCGGGTTTCCTAGAATTTATTATTTTCTGAAAGTGCTTTCTTTGCTAATTCTGAAAATATAAGATTTTGAAAAATGGAACCTAAACTAGCTGAGTTACAAGCTTTTTGCATGGAGACCATATTTTGGAGATATGTAAAAGTTTCAAACTACTGTAACCTTGTTCATTTTCTATAAAAAATTATGAAAGTTCAATTTTCTTTCTGAGCACATTTTGAGCTTCAAAATGAGTATAAACACGACTAGGCTCCGCCCATTTTGATTTTTGACAGTTTTTGGTTTAAAGGCGCATAGGGGGCACGAAAAATGAAATTCATGGAAAGTAGGTCATGATTATACTCGTTTTGAAGCTCTTTTCAAGCAAAATTCAAGACTTCAAGAGTTTTTCAGTTTTGTCGAAAAATAACCGAGTTACGGTAGTATTACATTTTTTGGGTCCCACCACAAAAATTACAAACTACCGTAACTTTGCTCATTTTCCATAAAAATGGATGAAAACTAAATATTTATATTAACCACATTTTCAACTTCAAAATAAGCCTAAACACGACTATATTTGAAGTTTTTTGAAAATTTCAATATTTTGGGTCCCACCACGAAAATTCCTTAAATTGAAAAGTTTTCAACTATAGACATGTTTATACTCATTTTGAAGCTCTCAACTCACGAAATGTGACAAATGTTGAATTTTCGGGATCAGAGCAAAACTGGTCAAGTTACGGTCATTTTATACTATGCGTGGTGGGACCCAAAATTTCGAAATTTTTTGAAACTGGTCACGATAACGTTTATTTTGAAGCTCTTAAAACGCTGATTTCAGAACTGATAACTTTCTCAAAATTGGACAAAAAATGGCCAAGTTATGGACAATTATTTTGAAAGCTATCATGGGCAAGTTATGGGCAGCTTGCCCAATGAACCAAAAACTTAATCCTAGTCTTGATTAGACTTATTTTGAAGCTCTTGAAACACTGCTTAAAACTCATAAAACTAAAAATCATAAAATTTTCCGATTTGGACAAAAACTAACAGAGTTATGGGCATTTCACACTTTTCGTGGTGGGACCTAAAATATCGAAAAATTCATATTTTCAGAACCTAGTCATGTTTATACTCATTTTGAAGCTGTTAAAACGATGATTTCAAAAATGTTAAATTTTTTCAAAATGGACAAAAATTGCCCAAGTTATGGGCATTTTATTTTTTTTTCGTGGTGAGACCCAAAATATCGAAATTTTCAAAATTTTCAGAAACTAGTCATGCTTATACTCATTTTGAAGCTCTTAAAACGCTGATTTCAAAAATGCCATTTTCAAAAAAAAACTTACGAAATCAAAAGTCCATCTCCGATCCAAGCGCTCAGAAATCCATACAAAAAGGGTTTGTTCAACATTTTTGGCGCCCCAAGGACCGCCTCCATTTCCTCGGCTCCATACAGTAGTACAAATGGAAGACCACCCAACCAGACACGTGTGATTCTCTCATCTCCTTTTCTCATCATATAGGCAATCCCTTGAGACTGCTCAAAAAATTCCTCTGGCGAAAAATGGAATTGATGAAAATTTCCGAGTAGGGGGAGTGCTGCGGGCCCTTGGAATACGGTAAGTTTGTCGTAGATGAATTTCGCTTTCCGAAACGCGAAATGGATGATCCAGGTGATGGTTAGGACGATTATTGAGGCTGTTATTATACCCATGGTTCTGGAAAAATGAGAAATTTTAAAAAAAAACCTTTTTTGGAATATAAAGAAATAGCAAAATAAAGAAGATGAGCAATTACCAAAAAGTTATAAAATACAAAAAATTCAAAAATTACAGTTTCTGGAATTTTTTACATCAATTGCAACAATATCTGAAAAAAATGTTCCAGACCATTTTTATTCTATAATTTTCGATTTTTCAGATTTTGCAGAAAGAGACATTTTTTGGAAATTCAATTTTTTTAAATTTTCGAAAATTTTGAATTTTTGAAATTTTCCTGAATTTCTGAACTTTCGAAATTTCGAATTACTGATTTTTCGAATTTTAGTGTATTTTGCAATTTTAAAAAAAATCAAAAACCAAAAAAAATCGAAAATTCAAACTAAATTTAGTTTGATTCATCCAACAAAAAAATCCAAATAAAACTTTTCGCCGAATTGCCAAATTTTGCGAATTTCAGAAAAAAAAACAATTTGAGTTAAAAAAAAAAGAAAAAAACAGAAAACGCAGAGTATGATTTTTTTTTTAAAATAACAAAAAATAGGGGTCACCTGGTCAGAAAAAGAAAAAGAAAAACATTTTTTAGGTCATTTTTATTTGGTTAAAAATTTGGAAATTTTGAAATTTGAACGAAAAGAAAAAAGATGTGAATAAGATTGAATTAGTTGAACAGGTAGAAAAAAAAGAACTTGTTAATTAGTTAATTAGTTAATGTGACAATTATTGAATCGGAAAATCGAAAATCATCAAAAGGGAAAAAAATCAGAAAAGTGAGAAAAAAAATAAACGAAGCATACAAAAACTGTGGGATTCTATAAATGGAGATGTTTGAAAATTCTGAATTTCCAAAAATTTATTTTTGAACTTCCGATTTTTCCGAAAAACGATTTTCCAATATGATCCCCCTCCCGCCGAGAATTGTCTCTTTTTTTTTGGTCTCGTATTTCTGTTCAATTGTCTCTTTTGTCCTTGAATTCATATCTTCAATTAGACACTCTAGACACTAGACATTGTCCCCCCGATTGAAAATGATATTGGATTCTCTGTTGGACGTACAAATGACTAGAGATTGAGAGACGCAGAGAGAAAAATTGTTTGCACTTTTAGTTCCGAATGAAATTGGAGTCTTTTTTGCAAAGTTCAAAATCAAGTCAGGAAATTGAGAAAGAAACAACTGTATTAATTTTTTTTTTGCAATTTTTTAAAAATTTAATTTCTGGAATTTCTAATTTTTCAAATTACTCGGAACTTTTCTAGAATTTTTAGTTATTTTTTTCTGTATTGTTTTAATTTTTGAATTTCCTGTAATTTTCAAATTCCTAAGCGTTCCTAGATTTGCCTATAAATTAATAGATTCTTTTTCCAGATTTCCAAAAAATCGTCAAAATACAAACTTTTTCGAATTGTCTGAAATTTTCAGATTTTACTAAACAAAACTAGAGCTTCAATTTTGTAGTTGACAACTTTTTTGTGAAATAAGGTCCTGAGGAGATATGCCACGTGGTATGGAAGAGAGCCTCCACCACCCCTACGACCCCTTGAGATATCGCCTATTTCAGACGTACCGAAAAGTGCTTCAAACTTTTTCAAATTTTCTGAAATTTTCAGATTTAAAAGGAGGCGCTGCAAAAAGCGCCTCCTTTTCCACGTACCATATCTCCTTAGGACCAAGTTTTTCAGAAAAGTTGTCAACTACAAAAATAAAGCTCTAATTGTGTTTAGTCTATTCTGAAAATTTCAAACACATTGAAAAAAATTGAAGCAATTTTCAGACATTCTCAAATAGGCGATTTTTCAAGGGAAAGTGGCGACTTCTTCCATTCCACGTGGCATATCTCTTCAGGACCAAATCTTACAAAAAAGTTGTCAACTACTAGGAATTTGAAAATTACAGGAAATTCAAAAATTAAAACAATACAGAACAAATAACTAAAAATTCTAGAAAAGTTCCGAGTTATTTGAAAAATTAGAAATTCCAGAAATTAAATTAAAAAAAAAAATTTTTTTTAAATAAATTTTTTTTAAATTCCTTTAAACTTTTTAAATGTTTTGTTTAGTGCAGTGTGCCTTATCGACAAATGATTTGTCGACAAACGCCCTTTTCGACAAATTTACCGATAAATTTATCGGAAAATTACCGACAAATTGTCGATAAAAACAACATTTATCGACATTTTGTCGATAAATTTGTCGATAAAAATTGCTATTAACCGCCGGAATTACTTGTAAAAAATCGTATCGTTACCATTTTTTCCTAGAATGATGGAAGAGCTTACCCAGGCAAACTTTATAGGCTATCTGGCTTGGTGGCCCAACTTTCACAACATGAATTTTCTAGGCCATGATTCTTTTTAGCCTAGAAATGATCTGATGTTCACCTGGTGTGTTTTTATGTCATTTTAACATGGTGGCCTAACTTTCGCGTATTGAGTTTTCTAGGCCACCAT